TCCCACATTCTGAATATCACTGTCAAGGTGTCAAACAAACACATAAGTGAATCAATCTGACAATGGAGCAACTGATAAGTTGATTTGTTTATTGAAAATAAAAATTGAAACCTGGGTGCAGTTTCTACGGATTGTCCACATTATTGTAAATCTGAGCGGCCTTTTGTGAAGGGAAGGACACACGTCTTTGGTGAAGGAGCTGGAACATGATCTGAAGGAGAAGCCTGGAGCCATAGTGCTGTCGGTGGGAGGCGGAGGCTTGCTGAACGGAGTGGTGGAAGGACTCCATCGTGCCGACTGGGCTGATGTCCCCATCGTAGCCATGGAAACCATAGGGGCACACAGCCTGAATGCAGCCATGAAAGCTGGAGAGCTTGTCACTTTACCTGCCATCACAAGGTAGTGCATATGCTTATAGGCCATTCTGCACCATTATCTGGATTGGATGTCTGCTTTTCCTACTAAAACAACGGTTATAATGTTTGTTGCCACAGCATTGCAACCACACTGGGCTTGGTGAGGGTCTCTGCTCAGACCATGAAGCTAGTGGACGAACACACAGTTTTCTCTGAGGTGGTCACTGACCAGGAGGCTGTGAGAGCCGTTGAACGCTTTGTAGGTGAGAGGAACCTGTACCAGAGCAGATCCTATGTTAAAGATCAACTGACACTACATTTCTTCTTTAAAAAGAAGGAAAACTCTCTGTCTGAAAGTAAATCATAGTTAACTTTTACTGTTAAAGTCAAATAAGACCTTAAAAAATAGCTTATCTAAAGTCACAAAGAGTGAGGTTACTCTGCAGTGATTCACAAGCTTCTGATACTGCTTCTCATAGCGTTTGGGTGAAATGTTTGCCCTCCCGTAGTTGTAGGTTAAAGCAGCATCTTAAAAACACTCCTTCCTTTTGCATTTCCATTACTGAAAAAAAGAAAGAAGGAAATAACCATATAATATGGTTCACCCAAACCTCAAAACACACATTAGGGTGAAGTTGTCATATTGTTCAAGAAAAAAAATAAGGTTTCTGTGTCTCAGAATTTAATGTTTCTCGACCCAAAATGTCAGAATCAGCCTAAGACAATATGTAAATAACTAACATTTACATATTGTCTTGCAGTCATTAACCACTGTTTAATCAACATTTTAAAGGGATGGCTGAAAGGCCACTCAGAGAGGGAGAGGCCAGTTGTGAAGTACAGTGGTGGCAGTATCATGCTGTGGAGGTGTTTGGCTCACTTTCAAAACTACAAAATAAGGAAATAAAATGGTCAAATACTGAATCAATACTTTGCAGGACGTTTAACATTTGGTACAACTGGGTCTTCAACCGGAGTGTGGCTATAAACCATGACTCAGCTGATCCAGTTCTAGTCTAATACAGTCTAGATGAATAGATCCAGCTAAGTAGTATAAAAATACTGCGTAAGGACATCCAAAAAACCTAACCCAAGTCAATTCCATCAATTTCTAAGGAAATTGTCTGCTCAACAGCTAATAACTGTCATAATCCTATCTAAGCCAAACCAGGAAAATCATTGTGTATACAGTAAATATCTGGCACATGTGGCATTGAGCTGAACGGTGCAGTTTTTCTCTTTGTGCAGATGATGAAAAGATCTTGGTGGAGCCCGCCTGCGGTGCTGCTTTGGCAGCTGTGTACGGTGACACTATCAAAAGGCTGCAGGCTGAGGACAAGCTGCCACAGCACCTGGGTCCAGTGGTGGTGGTGGTGTGCGGTGGTAACAACATCAGCATGGAGCAGCTTCACAGGCTGAAGAAACAGCTCAGCATGATCTAGTGTCAGTGACTACCCTGGGTCTTCCTGACCTTTGTGTTTCTGTGTGTCTCTGCCCATTAGCCAACCTTACTCTCTAAACACAGGTATTCATGAGCTCCATGGATTCAATCATTCCAAAAAAAAACTCTCATTAACACCTAAACTGACTAAAATGGTGAGGTGGGATTGTGAAAATATTTGTACTTGAAAAAGATGCTAATGTTTTTTTTTTTGTTTTTTTTTTTTACTAATGACAGTTCAGTTTTATAAGGTTCAGACATTTATAAAAAAACTGACACATTTTGCTTGTTTTATATGTCCTTACTTGTAAAAACATTTGTGTATTTTTGTTCAGCTTTTTTACTTGGATTACAGATCAATAAATTATATTTCTTTGTCCTGTTATCTCTTTGCCTTCCTGCTCCTGAATCTAAACCATTTTCCTCTGGAATTGAAGAGGCAGGAGAGACACTTGGCAATTGAACAAGACAATGTACATTTAAAATGAGGAAAAACAACTGCTTTGTCTTACTTCAAGTTCACATTATTTAATTATCTTATTTTAGGAGTAAAAAAAACTGAATCCATTGGCAAATCATTTTATTTACCTTCTCAAATTAAGAAATTTTTTTGAACTTTTTACCTCAGTGTGTCCTGAATATTTATCCTATTATATCACTATACACTACAGTATATTAGAAAATGTTGTCCTGATTCAAGTGATGAAGTTATTTTATTTAACAATCCAAACTAAAATAGTTTTATTATTTAAAGTAAAATACAATAAAAAAATGTTTTTGGTTGGGAACAAACCAGGAAAACCTGAAGAGATACAAATTAGAAAATAGTCACTGCATTCTTTAAATGCAGTATTTAATTGTGGTGTCCCACTCGTTTGATAGATTTGCTTTATCGTAGCAGCTTATAAGTCTTAACAGGAAAGATCCACAGCTCAGGCCGTGCAACCAACAGCTGACAGGATATCTGATCATTGTGAACATTGTTAAAAAGAATAAAAAAGTAGGAATAAGTACCACATGATGGATGCTGTCCAGCCTTCTCTACAACGCCTCCCTCAAGTGATTCAGACCCCCCCCCCCTGTAATTGACATTAATTCATTCTTTCCACTGTTTTTGCACGTCACTATTACTTTATTTGGATCTATAGTTATATATAGAAATATATAGAGTTATATATGTAAATATTTATATTTATATAATTTTGTGTGTATATCTGGAGTGTAACAAAAGTAATTTCCCTCTGGGATTATTAAAGTATGTCTGAGTCTGATGATGTTTAGCACATCAGGTAGGAGACACATAACATGGAGGGAGGTTGGGTCAGGTAAGATGAAAATTATACATTAATAGACTGCATATAACTTGTTGGGATGATGAATGAAGTTAGAGGAAGAAAATGTGTTGAAAGTAAATAAGAGACTCAGTAAGAGTTCCACCTTCTATCAATGGAGTCCATAAACATAAGAATACAATGGTTTGGATATAAGCTTAACTGTGTTACAATGGCCCAAAGTCCAGATATACTGTAAAGGTAGTTGAGGATCAGAGGAGAAACTTGATGCTCACAGATTCAGTTTAACAAGATTGAGCTACAGCCATTTTCTGATAATCAGCAAAACATGTAAAACTTAGAAACCAAACTTTCACATTTATGCACAACTTTGTGCCAGCCTGTTGCATGAAATCCCAACAAAATACTTTGAACTTTGTGGTTGTAACGTGACAAAAGGTAAAACTAGAACATTTGGGGCTGATAAAGACCTGAACAACATGAATGAGGATCCAGTTGGATCTGGCCTGGCCTGGCTGCTCTGTCAAGGTGTCTGGTTTACAGTCTGCAATGATGCAACCAGAGTGTGTCATTGGGCCATATGTTAATAACATGCTGTAAAGGATATCAAATCCTACGTTGCAGGTATATGTTCACATGATAAAACATCATTACCTAATGAGTGTAAAAGTATATGACAGACGTGTGTTAATCATGTCTACTGTGTAGAAATGTGCTCTCTGTGCTTTTTTCCACAGTAACCATGACTACAGGATTCAACAAACCACAGGAAGCTGTTGGTACATGAAGACATTTCTTTATTATGACAGAGAAATCTCAAATGCCATTCATTCTTTACATCTGTATAATCCATTTTAGATATGTTACGTATCATGTGCAGAGGTAAGACAGTAAAAGTTAAGTTAATGCAACCATAAATAATTTTAATAAATATCAAGTAAATGTACAGCACACGTTTCATCGCAACAATTCTTTGTACGGATATGTCCTTTTAGTAACCTATGTAACCCCTCCAGAGGAGGAGAAGTCAGAAGAGAGACAGAGAGAGCAGCGGTATGTCATCCTTTAAAAGAGAAGAAACAAACCCCACAAATCCTGCAAAAAAAAAACAAAAATAAAAAAACAGTTTCACTGCATTCGCACTCAGTCTTGTGGCTTTCTCAAAGTAAAATGGTGATTTTACTCACACAGAACATGTTTCACCACATGTCCATGAAGTTCAAACCATCTCAGTTCAAGACAAAGGTGATGGAGATTGGTATTCCCAAAAAATTCATAAAAAGTAGCAACACAACAAACTGGAAATCCGACAGAAATCATCTAAGTTGCTCATGTTAGATTCTTTTCTCAGAGTAGTGCAAACTCATAAATAAAATCAGAAGGTGAAGAGAAGCAAGTAAAAACTGCCAGCAAACATTACCTCAGTCTATTTACATTGTTCTAGATTATTATTTAATTTTCATTACACAATAAAACACTGGAGTATGGGTAAAATAAAATAAACGAGCTCTTCTTTCATCGAGTAAAATTAATAAATAAGAGGAAGAACTGAAGATTATTTACTCCCAACTTCTTAAATGTCTGTGTTTGGATTAGATGGAACTAAAACAATAGGAAGAATTTTTAGTGAACAGCCTTTTTTCAGGCTCTTCCCTAACATGTACTATTTTATTGGCGTAAATTAGCTTGTCCTTTAACAGATCGTACAATTAAACAGGCAGTAAACTACATAAAGCCCTGATCAGCACTTCTTCACACCTGCCCCTACAGTAGATTAGGTGGAAATTCAGCAGACTGGTAATCATACCTTCAAAACCCATTTGGTTCTCATCACACAACAGGCTTCTACAGCAAAGGAGAGGGTCAGAGCACCCCTGCCCTTAAACTAACACTAAGGGTTAGCTTAGTGGAGCTAACACTAAGGGTTAGCAGGGGCACTGCCAGCTTCTGTAGAGCTCTGTTTTTGAACACTGGGCTGTAGCATGTAAACGGTAAAGTGCTGTTCTGAAGGTTGATATGGACTTTTGTTAAAGTTGAAAAGCTGGCTCAAAAAAAGGTAAAAGGAACATGGGAACAAATCTCTTTCACAGCTGTTTCACTTCAATGCCCTCCTCAATCAGTGCAACAAAAATCAGAAGTATATGCAGCCAAAGCTGCTGATTAAATACATCCTCCCTGAATGAAAGAAAATGCAGAACTTCGGCAAATGGCAACAAAAAAAACAGGAGGAAAACCAAAATGTTGACTTCCTTTTAAGATAAAAGTGTCTGACTTTGCTGCTGAAGCAGAGTGTTGACTTGCAGTCTGTCTCAGAGGAAGATCCGGGAGCGGGCAGAAGATAATGGTGGGTTCTACTGCCTGGGAATGTCTGGTTCTCAAGTCTTCTTAGCCACTCAGAGGATCCTCGCGGTAGTGGATGGCATAGCGCAGCTTCTCCAGCATTACATCCAAAGAAGTGTACTGTGGCAGTTTCACCATGAACATGCATGTTTCCACTCGAATGTAGCGCGAGTCTGGCTGACCTGGAGAAAAAATGGAAATGTCTTAGCTCTTATTTAATCAAAATCTACATGGTTATAATATTAAGTATAATTTATATCGCTTAACATCTCCTAGTAAATGCATTTGATATATTCTTCAAATTTATAAATACCCCAATGGAAAAAAAATTAAGAAAAAGAACAAAGATTAAAATAAAATTCTTGACAATTGACTGTTTCTTAAGTTTTTATCCATTATTTATTCTAATTAATCATTTAGATGATAAATAAAAATTCTCATAATGACTAGCAACACATCATGAAGACAATAAAGTTTCTAAATGCCCATCCATAAATGCAAAAGAAAGGCATTAGAAGTATTGTTAAAGGCCTTATAGGGAAGCGCCACCATTAGCACAATGTTGAAAAAGATTATCTGGTCAAATGAGACCAAAATTACATTATTTGCACACATGCTAAATGTTTTATGTGGTGGAAAACTAATGAAAGAATGCATTCTGAACATAAAAGCTACACTGTTTAACTCAGGATGGTATGGTAAGGCTTTCAATGAAGCAGGCACAGAGAAGCTTTTTAGAGTTAATGGAATGACGGATGGATCTAAATATAGAAGAATCCTAAAAAGAAACAAAACAAACTTTGGGAGGTTGAGGTTTTTCCTTCCAACAGGTCAAAGACCCTAAATATATAACCAAAGCTACTATAGAATGGTTTGCATCGAAGGATATTAAGGCCTAAAGTCCAGCTAAAATCTGTTACAAAGCTTCTGAATTAATGTCTGAATATCTTGAGCTATTTTATTTTTTCTAAAACAAAATGAATTTCTAGAGGCAAAAATGGCTGACATTTTCAAATGGCTAAATCTGTTCCAACAAGTTACCTAGTTTGAGGGGAGACAATTAAGCACCACTTTATGCTGCTGTATTACATCATATACAGAATGGTTTAAGGTTATAATGAGACAAGACAGGAAACAGTTCAAGGGATGTGAATACTTTCGCAAGGCTGTGTAATCAGGCTGTTTTGGAGATAAAAGTAAAGATCAACAATCGTATATCTACCATAAAACATAAACATTGAGCTCAAACTTAATCCCCTTAGTGTGAAAAAAAACAACTAAGTAGTAGAAAAGGATCGGTTTGTCTACTTGCATTAAAATAGGTCAAGTTTAAAGTCTATGTGAAATGACAAGATGAGCACTTTTATAACTGCTGATATGAAAGGAGGTACACAGATAGGAGAGCTGGAGTCTGAGCACTGCCCTGCAGGAAGCATGGTAGCAATTACCTGCAGCTCCATCTGGAGGGGCGATTTTCATGGGGTACGGGGGAACGTGGGCCGTGTCTGGTCCGCCATCTTTACACGGGCAGGTAAATGGGATGCGCTCCTGGTTGCAGGCAAATTTGATAAATTTGCAGAGCTCTTCCTGAGTGAACATTTCCAGGGCGGTCCAGAAAAACTCAATGTGCTGGTCGGTCTCCATCAGACCAACTTGGTACATGGTGTGAGCCTAAAGAAGAAAAGGGAAGGATGGTTTATTCTGGTAAAAAGCTGAGAATCACAATTAATCACAAAGGTACAGATATGCACACGCCACCTTGAGGAACTCCAGGTTAATGTAAGGCAAGCCACATGTGCGTAGTTCAATTTCCAGAGGGCTGAGCATGGTTAGCAGCTGCAGAGGAATGATGGATCCTAGTCCTGCACGCACTGCTGTCATACACTCCACATTCTCCAGCTCCCTCAGACGGAGGCTCCTCACCGCCCGCGCATACACGTCCTTGTTCTCCCAGCTTCATGACGACAAAAAGCATGAGAAAAAAAATTGAAATATGCTGCAGCAGCAGATTTAAAGCCAAGTTACTGAACAGGAGGTAGAATCTTCAGCTGCTCTGTACCTGACACTGAGGCCATGTCCTCCCTGACAAAGCTCCACTTCTTCACCCGTCATAGTGAAGTAAGTGAAAGTGCAGCAGGGCCTGCTGGGGGAGTCTGGGCTTTCTCCTGAATGGTGCTGGGAGGAGATCTCAGCACACAGGGCCTCCAGCTCACTCTCATCAGTCACCTGAAGAGGCACGGAAAACAGAACACACCATCAGAATCACAGTAAGCATCAGTGCAAAAATGGAAATTAGCTGACAAACTCAGATGGCATGTATTTACTATGAGCATTGCAAGACCATAATAAAAAACTAGAAATTATTTTTTTATTCTATCTAAAATGTACTTGTCTACGAACATATTTTTAGACTAGTGGATAATAATTGGGAATACTCTATTACAACACTTACATTTTCAAACTTCTTAACATAGTTGTAGGTGAGCACATCTGCTTCTTGCAGGTCCTGCTCTTGGTCAAGAGGTTCTCCAACGAGGCCTTTCCAAAAAGATCCCAGCAGATCCAAAGGAAGGGGGACATCTGCCCGGATGGCTATGCCAAGGAGCTGACCAAAAAAGTGCAACAACTGTTCTTCTGCATAGCTGATGGGGCAGGGAGTCAGGATGTACTTCCCCTGAAAATAACAACAGAGAGAACTGGTAGGATTAAATTCATTTTTTCATGAAGGCATGCAAGTAATTTTCCACCATCCGTTTTGCTAAAAACTGTGAGAGAACGTTGATTCCACAGTGACAAACACAGAGCCTTGGATTAATTACCTTTCACCTTTTTTAAAAATTTGCCAACTTAAAGCCACTAACCTCAATTTGCTTAATTAAGATTTAATGTGACCGGCACAAAGCAGAGTATAACGGAAAACGATAAACAGTTAAAAAAATAATAATTAACAGGAAATGTGGGCATTTATATTGAGCCTCCAGAATAGTAGTAGAGTTTCCTGTCAAAGGACCTACAGCTCTTTAAAAGCCTTTAAAAGTCAATTTTACAAATGTCTTTGACATCCTAAGCTCTCTTTAAAGGTCCTTCTTATTTTCCTCTTTTTAGCTCCTGGTTGGAGGTCCTGTAAAGCCCTTTACATTCTGTATGTATTAATGGTGAAATATTAATAAACTTCCCTTGCCTAACAGATTTTCATTTTCTGATCCTCCCTTAGACTGATAAAACCAAAATTAACGCAGGCAAAAATGATTTTGGCCACTGGCGGGTGGGGCTAGTTTACTAGGCTAATCCTCCCCCAAAAGACATGAGCATTTTTCAGACAGGTGGATAAACTGTACAACTAACAGTCAGTTACCATAGAAATTTTGACATGAAATGGTTGTTTAATTTATATCTTTATTAGTTGGTCACATTTATTTTAACAACCCAAGAATTGTTATTTTGATAGTCAGTCATTCTGTTGTCTATACCTAATGTTTCAACTGTTGTCTTTTAAGCCTTTAGTAGGCCTGAGCGTATATGCATGTCAATAGTAAAATTAAACTAGATAAGCCTTGCTGAATTAACTGTTACCTTGTTACGGTTGGCTGCAGCACTGGGACAGGAGAGCAGCAGGGAGAGTGCAGAGCTCTGTAACTCCTTACACACCTGCCACAGAAAGTGTCTAAAGGAGCCACCTGGACAGACACATTTATCACAACTGCAGTTAGGCATTTAAAAAAACAAAAAAACCTTATTAACTTAAATAGATAACAGGAGGGCAGGATTCAAGAGAGTGTGTCAGAGAACTACTAACTTGTGCCGTGAACTTCTTCTCCAGTGAAACGAATGTTGAAGGCATATGTCGGGTCTCCTCCGCTGGCCAGTTTTACACAGAGCTGAGATGATGGTACACAGGACAGCTGGCGTGCTGCCTGGCATAAGTAGGTGTTTTCTGATGATCTGATTTCACCTGTGGGGAAAAAAATATTGAAATGTTCAGAAAAGTTCACCCGATGTGCTGCAAGGTGAAGTGGAGAAAAATAACACAGAGGCAAGTGTACCTCCAACAATTTCCAGAGGGTCCAGTGTAATCTCTGGAGCGGCATGGTCAGCTGTACGCTGCACTGTAGCATTCAATACTCGGTTCATTACAGTCAACTTGGTGTCGTAGAAGACGAAACCTGCCAGAAGACAACGCAGAAATGGAGTCATAAATTTGTTAATAAGACATGAATCTAGACAGAAGTACAAAGATTATACCGTAATTTCAATTAACCTAAAACCTATTTAAATATCAACACATAAAAGTACTTTATAAGAATGGATATCCTTCACTTGAAACTATTTCAGAATTAATAGTTTTTGTTATAAATGCCAATGTAGAGGTTTGCCTAAAACTTTATTCTAAATTTTGAGGACTGAGTCCACAAAATAAAACTATTCACCACTGATCGGACATAAAGGTAGACCAAGGCACTTTTTCTCTAAGGGTGTCTCGATCCGATTAATATCAGATATTGGTTCAATATTGGCCAAAAAACTAATACCGGATTATAACAGATTTTATTGAATGGCATCTAAAATCACAAATATTGGCATGTTGATAGAAACGGCTTCTGTTTAAAGTTTAACCCACTGGTTATTATAACATGGGTCAGTTGTTCTCATACCTGCTGTTGTTCTCCGTTTTAGTAATGTCATTTGATCAAGCCCTTTTTAAATAATAAATTACAAAATAATTAATAAAAGCATGTATGATTTGTGTTGGGTCAATATCAGTATTGGTCAGTTCTAAAGCTGCAATATGGGTATCATATCGGATATGGAAAAGTTGAATCGAGACACCTAATTTCGTCTCCCTAGTTAGTAGTATTAGCAGTTACTAGTATTTGCTCATTTGCTCAAATTTACTTATAAGCTAGCTTTCACCCTTTCATTAGACATCATCTCATGCTTTTTATGCCTGCTAGAGTTGTTCTTATGTCATACTTACCCTTTGCCTCGCCCAAAAGCGCAGCGATACTGTTCTGATATGTATGCGTCTGTCTCAGCTCCACAAGTGGCAGAAAGAAACTCTCCAGGGTGTTATTAAGAGACTGCAGTAAAGCAAAGCGCAGGCGCAGGCTCTCCACGGGTACATCTGCAAACATGACATTATTGCCAAAGCTAAACATCTCAGTTTTCTGTGGAAATTACAGCCCCTACCTTAACCTGCAGTACTTTTTACTCTTAAACATTTCAGTTGTTAGAAAAAAAGAAAACGGTCAAAATCTAAATTGGCAGGCCAGACCTTAATTCTGTGTCCTTTAATTTTTAAAAATACATTCATTACAATTAACCAAACTAGCAAGCAGCTACTTACTGAGCAAGCAGGCGACACGAGGATCTGCAGCATCACTGGGATCTAAGTAGACCTCATGGGGGTGCAGCCTGGCTGGTGTGATGGCCAGGTGACGACACAGTCTGTTGATGTACTGCACCAACGCCACATCCATGTCTAAGCTCCACTTTCTACAGGCCTTCTGGGCATGCCGGGTGTCTATACACGTGCACCTTTAGAAATAAAGACAAGTTTCACTTTACATCACCATCTAAATACAGATGTTAAGAAAAGGAAACAATTTAGCAGTAAGAAACTGCATGATTCACTTTAAAGTAATCCTGTTAGGTAGTTTATTTAAGAAGGTTTAAAATGTACTTTTTAGCCCCTCACCTTTCAAAATGAAGGTCATAACCACAAGCCAAAAGAGCTCTCCACACGCTGCGGATGTCCTGCTTCGCCCGATCGACAGCAAATTTATGGAAGCCTTCCAGAGTCAGGTACTTCTCTTCTGTGGCTAAGCAAGAAGTAGCACAGCTTATAAAACATTGTTTCAAAAAAGAGCTTACTTTTAAGAGAAAAAAGGAAAATCTAAACATGGACTGGAAAGCTTTATGGACCATTTAAGTCTTTGTTAATCTAAGGACTTAAAGGCTGTGACATAAAATAAAAAAACTTCTAAATGAAGTAGCAGGAACATTTCTGGTGTATTATGTAAGGAATCAGCAGATTGGTTTTTAGGATTTTTGCCAACCTTCAGTTTTTTTAGCCGGTGATTTTTCTACGTCTTTCTCATCAGGTCTGGATTTCTCAGGAGATTTTGGCTTTAGCACAGTTTTCTTTTCACTCAATGCAGTCCTGGAAACAAGCAAATGAGTTTCAGGCATGATAGCAATATTTTTACACATCTAAAGACAGGCAGGTTTTTAATTAAAAAAAAGGACAGACCTAACACTGTTGAGGACCGATTTCTCCTTGGTGAGGGGTTTTGTGATGGGTCTTTTCGTGCTCACAACTTTACCCTGATGTTGTTCTTTTCCTGCCTTATTGTACTTGTTCTTGTTTGGCTTGGGTGTCCCATACTTTCTCAAAATCTGAAAAAAAAGACAATTTTTGCTTCTTAGCATCCTTACCAGTGTTTGTGAACAAAAACATTACAGATCGCTCACAGACAACTTACTTAGTCTGAAGTTACAGATAACACTTAATGCCACACATCTAGTATTATCAGTATTAGATACAAACTAATAATTATGATGTGAGATGTATAGGAAGCAGCAATGCATCTACTGGTATACCTGAGTGAGTTGATCTTCGAGAACTTTCTTAGGAGGTCGAACATTGGTAAAGAAAGTGTGCAGCAGGTTCCCTGGGGTCTGAGAGTTGATCTGCTCCTTGCTGAGGTAAATATCAGACACTTTAACAGGCTTAGCTGGTGTGAGGCTCAACATCTGCTCCGAGTGCACACAGCTTTTAAAAATATCAGTGAGGACATCTTTGGCCCCAGTAACAAGTTTGTCGCCTGGAAGCAAAGAGGTAAATTAGTTTTGAAAGAAAGATGCTCTGTTAGAGAAGTAAAACTTGTTGTTTCAGACCAACCTTTGATTGACTTCTCCAGAAAGTAGTCTTCTAAAGCAGAGCTTCCCTGTGTGTCAAAGAGGCTTTGGTTAACACTGGAAACGGTCAGGATCTCCACGTTGGTCAACTCCATCAGTTCCTCTTCACCTTCCAGGCTCGACAGACCAATCAGGTCGCTGCTGTTAAAGAGACTGGCTCGGATCTTTTCCACCTTGGCTCGTGAGCGGACCTATAATTATCAGATCACAAATTCAAGCAATCTTTGATGCATCTCCTACAAAATAAAGTTAATAATAAAGTTTAAACTATTTCACATTTTGTTTTCATATTTATTTTTAGGTGATAAACACAAGGTAGTGCATTGTGATGTAATAGGAGTTTTTTCCCCCTCAAAGAAACTATAAACAAATCTGAAAAGTGTGGCATAACACTGTATGTATTCATTGGCTTTGCACATTTACAGATTAAATGTTTGACACACTCTTCTTTTGAAAACAAATCCAGCTCTGGAAGACTGCCTGAGCTCCAGTGAGCATCATTTTCAAATCTTTTCAAAGATTCCTAACAAGACTCAAGTCATTTGAACACATTCTAAATCAATATTGATATTTAATAGGAACTATTTTTGCTTTTTAGGGACATTCAGCTAAAACCTCTTCTCCTCCATCTGCTCTGTCCAGCTTTCCAGTCAGAACTCCCAGTCATACTTGGAGCCATGTTTTTAGGCTGATGTGCAGAGCTCGTTTTCCACCTCACAACTAATGCCAAATTTCGGTCTTATCAGACCTAAGAACCCTCCTCCACATGATTTCTGTGTTCCCTACATGGTTTGTGGCAAAGACTTAAACAGGACTGTATACGGCTTATTTGAGCAGTGGTTTATAGTTGTCGTTAGAAAGATTTCTCCTCTGAGCTGTGGATCTCTGCAGCTCCTTGGAAACTCCTTAGCTTTTTATCAGATTATTGATAAATCTGATCTGTTTGCCATGTTTATTGCTCGTTGTGATGATTCATCAGCAATGCTTTCTAACAGACTTCTGAGATAAAGATTAAATTAGTCGCACACTGACTGAATTTTCTAAATACAAAAGCTCTTACTTAAGTATGTGAAAGCAGAGGGTAAGTAGATGGTAAAACAATTTAGAAAACCAAGTATCATTCAGCCTCAAAATTAAGCACAGCATAGCATTGATAATATAAGATACTACTTAAATACATTTAATTTAGAAGTTGTAACCCGAAAGAATCTGAAATCATCTCACCTCAATGACAGCATAACCCTTGATGAGCCTGGCTGCAGTGCTCTCAAAAGAAGTGACTGTCTGCATAGAGGCTCCATCTGACACGGATGCTGACTCTGTATTGTCGAGCGGCTCCCCAAAGCTGCCGAGACTCCCCAGGCTTCCTGTGCTGCACAGAGAGGTGTCCAGACTCTCCTGGCTAGAAACCGTCTGAGAGTCCTGAGGACCTTGCTGGGGGTATGTTACAGCAGTGGCGGCAGCTGCAGGGGTGAGCGAGGGAACAGCTAACAGGTCCTGATCAACAGAAAGTTCGCTGACGGTGCGAGAGACTCCCTGAGAGGAGCTGCAAATGGAGGTCTGGCTGGTGGAAGCTGACGCACTCACACTTAAAGCTGGAGTGACACTGCTGGAGCTGTCAGGACTCTCAGGTCCTCCACTGGTAGGAAAAGGACGATCAGGTTCTGCAGCAACTTTGCCATCAAGCGGGCTTGAAACTCTAGCTCCTGATTTCTTCTTGGGGTCCTCCTCCTGTAGAGGGATGAAGACCTCATCTTTGAACAGTCCTCCATGTGCATTACAGGCCCTGCGGATGGCATTTCGAACAACTGCCTCCTCGAGGTGCGTAGGGATACCTGAGAGTACCAGCAGGCGGCTATGAGAGGTTGGACCCACCAGAGCTTGGCAAGCATCTGTTACTGCATCACTGGTCACACTTAAGCCCTGTGGGTCTTTATTGGCAAGATGTCTTAGGATCATCAGAAGAGTGAGGCAGCGGTGGAACCAGAGCATGTCTTCTGGTTTACTACCCGCCATGCTCAGAAGGGCGCTGTCACTTTCCGATAGCCTGGTACCTCCACTTGTTCTCTTCCCAGAGACTGCTGCAGCCACTGCAGCTGCTGCCCTTTCGCGCTTCATCTTCACCTTCTTACGCTTCGATAGCAGACTGGGGCTTTGAGGTGTCTGGCCTGGGGACGATGAAGAGGATGAAGACGAGTCACTGCGGTTCGGTGCGCTGGTAGAGGAAAGGGCTCCCACTGAAGAGCTGCCAACATTGAGGGGAAGAGTCACTTCTGCAACAGCCAGACACACTTCCATCAGGGCATGGAAGTAGGTAGAGAACCGGCTCTGTTCCGCACCTAGAGCCAATGCAATGCCCCCAGAGGACGACCCTCCTCCTGCAGCACCTCCTGCAGTCCATCCCTGAGTTTCCTTGTCATAAAGCTTTCGGAGCTCTGTCTGCAAAGCCATTAGGACAGCCAGGCAGGGGTTCAGCAGCAGAGCAATGGAGCTTGAAAGGCCAGCGGGGCTCTTGCGCTGCTCTAAGTGGTGGATCTTGCGTAAAAGTTCAGCTAACAGGTGAAAGATAAGCTCTTTGATGGAGGGAGCCAGATCTGTAGTCCAAAGTAATCCGCCTATAGACAAGACAGGAATTTTGAAAACTCACATCTAAGGAAATTTCTAGTCTTGTAATTTTATAAGAGTAGCATCTTTGAATTATTATTCAATTTAAAAATTCCAGTATAAAAGTTATTTAACTAAAATGTAAAAAAAATCCAACTATTTAGCAAATAAACGCTTACAAAATCAAAATAAAGGTTTTAATGTTACAAATAACTATAGCAACCATTTACTGCATCTATGTTGGTCAACGTGTGGCTTTCTATTGGGGTTAAATAAAGGAAAACCTACCGAGTAATTCTACCACCTGCAGCAGCACTGAGGAGGGAACAGTGTCCAACTCATCCTCGGTTCGCTCACTGCTTTCTCCTAGCTTCCATGTCAACAGCTGCTCTGCAAAGGCCATTGCCAGAGGAAACTCTAGCGGTAATGAGTGGAGCACCAACACAGCACCAGGAGGGGGCGACACTCCTACAACCACAACACGAGTTGACTCAGAAGTGCTTCGTTTTTAAGAATGCTTTTCTTAAAATGAAATACTCACCCAGTTTAATGTGGACTTTATCAGTAGGGATGATGACAGACGGGTACTGGTTGGTGGTGGGAGGGGGCGTAAGGCCTGTGTTGGTAGGAGAAGCATCTAGAGGATAACATACCGCCTCCATCAGATTCAGCTGACCATTTCTTCGCACTTTGTGACCCAAGCCATAGACCATGACGCGAGCCCAGGGAGCCTTGTACAAGCTAGAACTGAAGGAGGGGAAAATATAAGAAAGAACATCAAAGACATACAAGTGAAGCTAAGGAACAAGTTTTTAAGATGTCTGCCGTTGATTATTTGATGGGGCTTACTCTTTGCGGCAACCGAGTTGACTTTCTTTGCAGGAGACGATCACAAACGCAGCTCCAGGAAAACTGACATCCATGCTGACTTTTGACTCTGTGACAGGAAACTCCTCTGATGTAAACTGCTCAGGAGCGTTCTGGAAAAAACATTCAACATTAGAGTTTAAGTCTATTAAGTGATGAGCAGAAACATTACTACAGAATTACTCTTAAAACATTCAAACTCCGGTCTTTTCTTATTTCTTCCCTTTACATTCACTAATTTGTTAAGTGGAGAGAAATACATGGAAACAGGTCCTCTAGTAAGATAAGACCCACCTGGCCTTCAGGCTTCATGCAAAATTATATGTATATTATCCTCAATGCAACATCCCTCTGCCTCTGAGGGGGATGATTGGTTGCTATAAAGCCACCATCACATATTAACGATTTAAGACAGCGTATCCCTGATGTACGAAAAATCTGGCAAAGACGCTGGCATACGTTGGACAGGTTATGGGTCAGTTTTGTAAGTTAGTTATGAGCATGGTGAAGTAAGCTGGCACACGTTGACATATGGCAACGTGTGTTTGAGCATGCTAAAAATTTCCCAACATATGCCAGCGTATGCTCATAGGTGGGGCATAAGTTACAGGTAAGTTATCTGATCGTTGACATATGTTAAGTGTAAATTACTCATAAATCGTGGCGTCTAGCTTATCCAGAACCTATGAGTAACTTGTACATAGTGTGATGGATCCTCCCTGCGTTCAAGCCCATGGCCACGACCGACAAACTTCCTAGCAGATGTGATGCTGAGTCTGCTGCGACTGCAAACCTTCTTTCTTTGCAATCAAAGACATCTTTTTATGCAGACCGGGCACCTCCGGGCGCATCTCTGTTCCGCAGCTTTATCTGAAGCTTTGTAATGTCCATGAAATATCTCTTGTTCATCATTTCATGTGCATGACATTGTAGTGCCCAATGTATAAGTTAGGCTGTCGTTAGAGATAAGTTCTGGACTCGTTATAAATACGCTATGTATATGCCCAAAATAGAAAAAATGCATACAAAGTTCAGTGTATGCCAGCATTTTAGGAGATTCTGGGACGTCGGGCATACGCTGGCTAAATCAGCCAAGTGTAACAGCACCCTTGCATTGAAAAAGTTGCAACTTTAAGGTGAGTAAATGCATTTGGAAGGCAATGTAAGGAATTCAGTGCTTTAGAGCTAACCTGTAGGAAACAGCAGATCTGTTTCGTGAGCTCAAGTAAACTTTCCTCTCCTTGATGCAAGGCACGGGTGATGGCCACGGTTAACCACTCCCGGATGGGATGAGCATTGCCCTGATAAAACAGGTCTGTGGGAGAGCAACTTTGACCCTCGAGGTTATGAAGCACTGACTGAGCCAAAAGAATAGAACCGGAGCTAATGGTGCCATCTGTAGGAGAGGTGGAAATAAGCATTGTTTAGAAAATTCCAACTACCAAAAGAATGGGAGTTACTTAAAATGTACTTTTCCACTTACCAGGAAGAGGTGGAGCCAGCAGCTGATTGGAAAGAAGCTGCAGGTGCTCTAAAGTGATGTCACGGATAGCGGGGATGTGGAAGAGACGAGTGAAAGTGTGGGGATTCTTGGGGGCAAAGATGTTGAGCAGGGCCATGCGACAGTATAACCGAGCCAGCGCGCTTTCACATCGAAGGAGCTCCCTAAATGAAAGCAGTGGCATTGACATGAAGCCCAGGTCTTCAATTCAGATCCATCATGCTTGTTAACACTGCATTTAAAGTACCTATGAATCTGAATATTACTACTGTCCAATGACACCAAGCCGTTAGCAGCAGTGCGTCGTGAACCTGCTGGTGGGCGTTCCAGCATCTCAATGGGGTACCAGTATCTGACGAGCACGCCTTCACTGCGGAGATAGGTTTCCACCTGAACCAGCTCATTCACCTGAACAAACACATAAATCAGCTTAGCATATGGATAAATCTGTTATGATGATATGAAGCCAAAGAACAAATAAACTAACAGAGTCCACATCCAGCACAACCCCATGCAAACCAAACGTCTTCAACATTCCACGGATAGCAAACTTAGGCAGCGCTGTTCCTCCAGTTGTGCTGTTGGTGTTATTGCTGTCCGGACAGCGGATGACCACAGTCAGCCCTGTTTAGAAGAACAGTATCAGCATTACAATCATTGAGCTGATGCAACTGAGGATAAGTGCTTTAATCCAGTACAAATAAATGATAACATACAAGTATATATTCATGTTTTAATTTAGCAGGATTTCTATTTATGCAACGTTTTACCTTTGCGGACTTTGTCTATAGTGAATTTATTGGCCTCATCTTTGATGTCCTCAATAGTAGGAAGGTAGAGATCCCGAGGAATACCACCATTCTCTTCATATAGGAACTCCACCGTCTGTCTCGCAATGTCAACCATGCCTGTTTTCATGGAAAAAGAAATGTTCCTTAGAAAAAAAAAAATGTCTAGGGTAAAAAAAATTATAGTTTTTAGAAAATATTAATGATTTCTTGTGTTTATATTGTGTGTGTTTATTTTCATTTCAACTGATTTTCTATTACCATTAAGAAGTGACTTCAAAATAGAAACAACTTTATGCACACAAGAAAAATTACGTATAGAACTACGGTTCTAGGAATCCCAGGTGATGGCCTGAGATAGTTGCTTTCTCAATTTTCAAACCTTCCTTGGAAATTAAATGGCAACATTCTTTTATTTGCTTTGTACAGAACCTAAATAATAATATAATCTACCATAACTTGATAGGTATCAACTATGGGATCTATGTCATCAAAAGCTTTCAGAACCCATTTTGGTAAAATGCACAGACTGTTCAAAAGCTTTTCATGACCAAAATCTAAACACAACAGGTAAAGTATGATATGATCATGGGGTTGTATTTGGTGAGAAACGCTGAGTGATTTAGAAAGAATATTACTTTTTGCAACACAGCAATGGATTTTAATATTTCTGTTTTTGTATAATTTAATAATAATAATAATAATAATACATTTTATTTAAAAAGGCGCCTTTCTGGACACTCAGGGTCACCGTACAAAACATAAAAAGTGTCAGAAAAAATAAAAATTATAATTATAAAAAAATTTAAAAACATTTAAAAAATATATATGATATATAACCAATATAATTTTATTTAATTTATCTTCATAATGTTTTTCTTTTCTGAGGTGTTACAATGTTAAGTTTTTCTGTGAAATGTTATTAGAAAAATAACAACTATTAAAGTATTTTCAGTAAATATTGTAATATTTACTGAAAATATATCCGACATGGACGCTGACTCAGTGTAATCTAATACTTTCTAAGATTGATTTCAAAGAGAATAAACTTAATTTGTTGTTTGTAGCTTTAATATTTTATCAGAATTGTTTTATGCTCATATAGCAAACATTTTAATTTGTTTGAAAAGATTTTCATTCTTTACCCAGCTGCAGGGCTCCCTTGATTTGATCCAAGCCAGATTTTCTCTCAGCTTCGTTACGGAACCGCCTACGGATGGTAGGGAATACCTTTGTCTCCCAGGCCTTCACTAGAAGGGCGTAGTGATCCTCCTAAAGTCAAACAGATCAAATAATACAAAACAAAATCCAGCAAGAAAGCGTTTTGATCCAGTAAAATGAGCTCAGGACTAATCTTACTCTAGGAACATCGTCGTCATCATCATCATCACTCTCGTCATCAGCAATAGGTGGGGGATGTGGGTCGGGCCCTGAGGTAACCAGGTTTTCATAGCTTAGCTCCACCTTATAATGGCATGACAGGTCACTGTTGTACTCTGTACAAACCGAAAAAGGCAATAGAAACTGGATCATTAGCTAAAACGATAGGATTGAAAGGAAACGTGAGATGATCATTAGGCACATACGCTGCTGAGGAACGGCAACAGCTGCAATCCGACAAGGTGGACCATGAGAGCCAGAGTCTGAGGTGACACTTGCACCTGCATCATTATCACTGTCTGAGGCCATGGCAAAAGGGAGTGCTTCAAAATTTGCACTTATTTCCTCGGCCAGGTCAACACACAAGTCGGCTGCATTCCTGTGTGCTTGGCCCTCTGCAAATGCGAAAGGCCGGCTTCCAAAGTTGGCACGGATCTTTGCATTCTGCAAAGAATATAGAGAAAAACCAAATGAATACTGCATGTGGCAAAAAGACAGAAACTGCTTCTAAACTTGTTTGGGTATATTTGACCTTTTTCTGAATGTGGACGAGAGGCCACATTCCACCTGCTACGTCTTCAAGGCTTGGACTGAGCCTCTGACCACAGTAAGTGAAGTAGACTCTTCCTTTAGGAGCCTGGCCAGGGGGAGGTGGTGTGCCCTCAGAGCGCTCCCAGCCAATTCCTGCCACGTCGCCTGTATTTACCCAAATCAAAAGGTCATCATCTATATTACTGCGAAATATAAACCACACTGTTTTACACAGATATCACCCATATCAAATAGAAAAAAAAAAGTTTTTGGAAAAACATCTGGTTTTATAGCTGTTAAACATAGATTTTAAATCAGACACTGTAAGAAGCATATTCATTCTCCTGTCTTACCAGGAAGTAGGACCACATCAAGACGAACACTTTTCCACTGCAGCAAGCTGGAACCATTGTAATGCACTGCCCTACCGTTACTAATTCAGACACAGACAGGAGATAAAAACACAAAGAGAAAATAACCAAAACATAAGTCAGCAAATAACACCAGGTTAAACAAATGGGAGTCTAAGATTTGTTATATAGCTGATCTTACTTGTGAAACAGGCATGTGCCCACAGGGTTCGTCCATGCACCGTCTCGCTTCTCTGCCTCGGTGGCAAAACCAAAGGACACAATTGGCCCGCTGTCCTCTTCAGAGTCTCCATAGGAAACAACTTCTATCTCCCAGTAAAAGGATGGTGCCTGCAGCGGTAGACGGGGAGAGACTGACAATGTTATTCCTTACTTCCATTCTATTAGATCACTTCAACAGAACTCGTTTTGATGGCATATATAAAAACAAGACAATTTTTGTAACCTGAACTGGTACAGGAGAGGTGGCATAGATGAAAGTTCCTCGGGGCAGCCCTCCTCCTGCACTTGGATCAGCCAGGAAAGTGACGGAGGTCAGATGGGATGAGAACAAACATGCACGGACTGGAGGAAACACTCTGGATGGACACCAAGTGATCTCTTTGGGCTAGTAAACAAGCAGATTAAGGCAAGAAAAAGCTAGATAAGTGAGGTTGGAAAAATAGAAGTGCAACTTCAACAAGTTCTCATATGAAAAGCAAAGGATGTTTACCATGTCTCATCTTCTTTTCTTCTAAACAAAAACTGTAAACTTAAGATGCCATGCTACACTTTTATTCAGCTAACCAAACTGGAAAAAAATAATTGCAATCTAGATAAGTCATTTTTCTTAAAATAAGTGAATTTGTTCTTTGATTGAAGAGGTAAAAGAGACAATTTGCCAATGAAACAAGACAATTGACACTTAAAGAAAACATAATTGCCTTGTCTCATTTCAAGTGCATGTTATCTAATTATCTTAGTTTAAGAGCAAAAATACTAATTTCATTGATAAACCATCTAATTTACCTACTCAAATTAAAGGTAAGGGTAAATACACTTAATTAAGATTTTGTTTTAGTAATAACAACAGATTAGCTAACACTAAAGCCTCATAAAAGAAAAAAAAAATCAAGATATTTTTCTGATTTATACAAATAAACTACAAATGTGTGTTATGTGAGATTATGAAGTTTCTCTCTATGTCAAATATCAGCTTAAGAAGGTAAAGTGCATTTATTAACGCCTACCTGCCGCCTGTCTGTCTGCAGCGGTGGAGGCGGTGGCCGAGCACAGTCCCTGTAAAGCATTCTTACTCTCTTACACTGAGCCTCAACCATTCCAAGCCGCTCACCTACACAAAATAAAAAAGAGATTGTCCGTCAGATAAATACTGACCAGTGGTGAAAAGTGCTCCTGAACCTGCTCCTCATTAACTCACCAGGGCTGCACTCCTGGGCAACCAGGTTCAGAACCTCCACAGCAGCTGGACACTGCTGAATGAACTCCTCACAGAAGGAGCTATCCTCTAAGAGCTGTGCCATCACTAGACATGCCCTGAAAGACAAAAAATTAATATATCAGATAAACTCTGAGATTCATTTATTTTTATTCAATATTAAATCAACGTTGAGGAGTAGAAGGGAGACTTCCAGAGAGGAGTCTAGCTGCAGATTCTCTATCTAGTGGAAGTCCATTAAATCAACTCTGCTGTAAATTGGAAAAATCAACTGTGAAGCAAAAAAAGCCAATTATCTTTAATAAAGGTTTTTTCTTCTCCTGATCCCCTTTGTTCAAAGCATATGGAGATAAAAAAGTATGAAACTGGACAAGAACTTCTCTTCTTTAAGGCAAATACTAAACAAGGTAAAAATATATTAACATAAATACTTAAATAAAACAATAAATAAATAAGGTTCATGTTAAAGAGCTTGGGTTTCAAGTTTGCAATTTGAAAAGAACTAAATGGACCATCTGTAATTAAGATTTCTAAAAAGACTTGGAGAAAGAATAATAAAAACTTGATGCTAACTAACTTTAAAGGGGTTCTATGGCACTTAAAACATCTAGAATAGGTCTATGAGCTATATGAAACATATGTTTATTAACATTTAAAAACTCAGTTTCTGAGGGCACTGCAACTTTACGCAAAGCGGAATGGTTTCACAATGAAGCAACTGCACATATTTGAACCAGTGGAGCCTCTAACATCACCAGTATGAATGCAGCATGTGGTTTGTGATTAGTAAGTATGTAGGCTTTACTAAAGGACTACCGTAGAGAGTTCCACAGCTAAACCCAGGATTCTGCCGTTTTAAAATATAATGTTATATCTTGTCAATTGCATAGAAACAGTCAGTGAGATTGATGCTTTCATTCAAGGTCATAGATACGAATCTTTAAAATAAAACGCAAAATTAAAAAAATAATTTAAAAAAACATTCACAGGATGTCTACAGTAATGCAGAAATATTTTTTTTCCCCCCAAGAGTCACATTTTTCAGACTGAAGCAAAGGAAAAAAAAAAAAAAAAAAAAAAACGAGGGTGAACATCGGTCAAGCTTTTGAGTTTTTGTGCAGACTTCATAGGTTTAGCCTTGGTGGACCGGGCATTCAGCTGACAAAGAATAAAAAGGTTGAAATAACAATGGGTGAAACCTAATGGCCGGTAGAAGGCAAACTTATAGCTATATCCTTTAAGTGTTGCTTTTTGTAAAATACTTCTAGTGAGCATTTTAGTTTGTTTTATATGGGAACAAACCAACACTAACAGCACTAGCATTCCTATGATATCAGGCAAACTTTTGTGTTTTTTCAGTTGACTAAGTGTAGTAAATTATACTCACAATTTTCAGCATGTTCTAATCCTGCCGCCAAGTTATGTATTTGATTAACTAAAAAATGAATAATAATTCATATTTAATGAATTAAAACACCATATTTTTGTATGTCACAGTTTTACTTTGCTTGATCGGAGCAGAGCCCGCAGGTTTGACGGAATATTTGGGAAGGTTTTGAAAAGATGTACTGCCAAAAAAAAGCAGATAGATGTTTGTTTGCTTTTCTAAGAACTTGGACCGTTTCTAGAACCGAAATGAAAGACGGAAATTCCAAAAAGGAGAACTTTGCCCCATAGTTCCTTTCAATACATAAAAAAAAAAAGCTTTTTTTCCGATTACCTCATGATAGAAAGAGCTTTTCGTTTGGTCCAAATGAAACTGATGGATAAATTCCACTTATTAGATGTTTTATGGAGTCAATGTTACAGCTGTGCTTGAAAGTTTACATACAAGAATAAAAGAAAATAATACATTCGAAACAGTAATTCAAATAATACCAAACTTGAAAAAGCTATAATTAATTAAAATGTACTTGGTGATAATTTAGTATAATAGAATAGGAATTTTTGTTTAAAAAATAGCTATACACTAGAAAAACCCTCTGGGAACACAGAACTCCACCAAGAAGCAAGTTTTGCCTCATGTTGTGAATTACACCAATACCTAAAACCAAGGGGGTAGGTTTGATTTCAACTTTGGTAGGGACACTATTCTTCAGTTTCATTGGTCCTTTGCAAAAAATATGCATGCTCTTTTTTATGCTTAATGTGAGCTTCAGGGCTCATTTTGTTTAAAGAGAACAGCAGCATTTCTTGCTACATTAATACAAATCTTATAAGCACTACATGCACTAGATGCTGTTTATCAATATTTAAAGCATAACTGGCTCTGATGAATGTGGAATTAGGACTTTTTCCACTTTGAAAAGGATTGCATTTAGATTTACCTGCGACTAAGACAGTGTCTTTTTAACCAAATATAGTCTATAATATGTGGATTTATCCTGTGTTTTCTTCTGAAGATATAGAATTGTGCAGAGGTAAACAGAGGTAAACCCCACTCTTATTTTTTTTTATCTAATATGCTCTCTCTGGGTCATGCAAAATAATACATTCAAGGGACGGCAAATAAATGTATTGTATTTACATGTGCACTGGAACTAGAAGAGGAACTGACACTGAGCATTTAAAGTATTAATATTAGAAGTTGTGCATGTGGGCTGTAGTTACTCTGTGTAGCTAATTTCATGTATTTTATCTATGGCTGAAACAATCATATTAACAAATTATTTAAATAATCGTGAACTAATTTAGTAATTGATTAATCGTAAACTGGAGTATAGGGCCACTAAAATGTGCCTTTAGCCGACAGAGCGACCCACTTAGAGCAGGAATTATACCAAGATTGTAAAAAATATGTAAACATTTTGCATTTAAGAAGTTAAAAAAAATAGATTTTGTCTGTCAATATTCTCCATCCAGAACTCCGCCAAAGGAAACGTTTAAACGTTTCCGTTTCACCTGGTTTCATTTCATAAAAGATCTTCTTTAAGGAGCCTTTGGCTATCTGATTAAAAGATAAAATAAAAGAAATCCTAACGTTGTTAACTTACATTTCTCAAGTTCCACAAATCAAAAAACTCTCTCCTGCTTCTTTACAGAACTCCAATCAGAAGCTTTCGCCTGTTTTAGCGTAGATACGTTTTTTTAATTCTGACTAGTTTCGTAGCCCAATATTAATTTATTTTAGCGTCTTTTTTTTTCCGCGCTCCAAGCACCCGCGCGCGCGCACATACAGACTAGAAAACACGCAATCAGAGAGAGAGAAGGTGGAACTTAAGGCACAATAATCAGAGAGTTAAACCGCGCAGCACAGTTGATGCGCTGCTATGTGAAAGGGACAGGAAAGAGCAGGCAGCTGCAGCTACCAGGCAGAGAAGCTGCGAGAGGAAAAGAAGCGCCTGCTGTATAGTAAATTATAAACATGTTGTTCACATCCAATTATTGGTAGGGACAAATAGGTCCGTCCAAAATTTTGGTAGGGACATGTCCCTATGGTCCCTATGCAAACCTACGCCCATGACTAAAACCGTTGTGGATCATTACCAAATTTTGTTCCTTAGTGCGAGGTTCACCTTTGGTAACAACAGCCTTACTTTTCATAAGTTTCTAAATAAGGCACAACTTCAGCCTCTGGTCTCTTTTCTGCTCTCACCATCTTCATTCACTTTGCTCTCTTCTTTGATCAGCAGATCGGGACTTTGAGCGATGCATGGCTCACCTTTCCTGTGTTTTTGTCTTCAGTATGATACCTGTGGAGTTTTTGGAGTCCGAAGCTGAAGCTGTCAATAGTCACTGCTGCCACTATTTGGTTTGGGGGGGAATTGCTTGTTCTGCCAAATAATGTTAAAGAATCTGTTGAAAAATTCCTGCATTTGGATTATGATGTGGATCATCACCATAATTTAATGAATTGTTCCTTGGACTGAGGTTCACTAGTGTTAAAAATGTTATTAAAATCTGTTCATAACTTTTCAATTTACCTTGTATACAGACAGTCAAAAATTCAGGAAACAAACAAACACACAAACTAAACTCAAGTAAAAACATAACGTCCTTGGTGGAGGTAAAAACAAACTGATCCATTAAAGTACCTTGCTCATGAACAGTGAACCATCATACCTTCTGTTCCTTTGACAGGTGCAGAAGTCTGACTGAACATTTCAGGAAACACCTGATTTCAGTGATTGCCTCAAAGTGCTCAACAAAATTTTTGTTCAGGAGCTCCATCAGGCTTCTTAAATATATAAACTTTCAAGCACAAGTGTAATATAGATGTATGTATATATGAAGTCCAATAAATTCAAAAGGAAACTTTACATCCACTTTATTTTGCTATGATTTTTTATGAACTATAATAGAGCTTCCTGACCTAGTCCTGATTTCAGCCAGCAAACGTACTGCAGCCATTACTGGACTGGAGCCATCTCCTGTAGCTGGTAGCGATGTATGTATGGAGAGACTGCCCTCCTGTGGCAGAAGCATAGACTGCACTGCTTGAACCACCTTTTCTGTAATGGAGAGCTTATAGATGGGGAGTGCCTGGTAGGGACAAGAAACAGGGAAAAGCAAGATAAGAGATAATCTGTTTGGTATTTGATGTAATATAATGAACAGCATTGAGACTTACCTCAGATCTGGGAGTGCAGAGACGTGATATCGGTACTGTAAGGATGTCTGAGGCTTTGCAGGCTCTCCTGTACTCACAGGAAGGAAATTTGACAGTAGCAATGCCCTCCTGCTCATTTATGGACATAACTATGCCCACACTTCCCATAACTCCTTTACCTACCACCTATAGAAAAGAAGAATGACATTAAATATGCTTTTAGTCATTACTACTAATGTAGTAGGTAACAGTGAAGGTATTGTTTATAAAGACAGAAGCAGAACAACACAAGAGATACAATGAAAAACAAAAATAGCCCTTTGACTGCCTTACTGACCTGGACTTCAGAACCAATCTTAATTGTCTCCTTGAAGCCCCCAAGTGCACACAGTGCAGCAACAGCTTGTCTTCCAATGGCCTGCAGTTTCGCTAGTCTTCTGCCACTGCTGCTACCATTTTCCAAAATGCTCTCAGCATACTTCCCCAGCTGTGGAATAAACATCAGCGCTCGGGAAAGAACCTAATAAAGAGGGAAAAAAAAACAAAAAGCATAACAGGAATGATTTCTTAGGAAAAAAAAAAATCAATAAATAACTAAACCCCAGTAAGAGTAACTGAAGATCATATAATTAGAATTATCCACAAAGTGTAGCTTTCAGTACCAATATGAATCATGGAAACTATTAATGAAAAAATAGGGATGAGTAAGTTTACTTTTTCAACAGTACTAGTCCAGATCTGAGCAGTGTTGGATTCTGGAGCGGTCAGCAGACTATGCAGCAGAGCAATAACCTCAGCAGCCATGCTGTTGGCAACGTGACCGCTGATGAATGGCCGGACAGGATCTGACCTATTTTGGGCAGTAAGAAGAAAAGTAAAACCTCAGTTTAAATCAAAAACTGTCACAAACTTGATTCCAAAATTATTATTTTTTTTTTTTTTGCACATTCCTAACATTGAACTCTTCATATATTGCATCACTACAGTAAATAAACAGCACCTGGCCAATTCAGCATTCCTGTCCCTACAAACAGCAGTCTGTGCAGTTTTCTTCTTGTCACCGGTCGTAATGCCCCCTGCAGCCTCCTGAGCCGTAGCCTCCACAGGTGGACCAACACTCACTATCAGGCCAGACTGAGCCCACTTGTTAGCCTTCCTCAGGGCAGCAGATGCCTCTTCAGTGATGACTTCACAGCTTCCACTCTACAAAAAATAGAATATAAATAGGTTAATAAGCAACAAGAAAACTAATTTTGATAAAAGATATGTGACATTTTTAAATGTATTAAGTGCTCTGTCCAAGTATCAGAATGTCTGATTCTGATTATTTAAACCAATTTTATCATGTTGAAATCACAATCTTCAGTGCAGGAATTATCTGTAATAGACCAAAACAAAGAAACTTATTACTGGAAAAGAGATTAGTATGTGGTTTAGATAAAAAAAAAGTAATGTTTTGGCTTACATTTGTATGAGCTCTCTTTAATACCTCCAAATAGGAGCTAGTAAACCCATTTGTGTTCACAAGTACCTAGTAAATAAGGTTCACTGGTGTGTAATTTGATCTCAGTATAATCCACTGACTATAAAGGCTTAATAGGTTTCTAATAGAACATTAGTGGACAAAAGCATCATCAAGAACAAGGAAAACAGCAGAAATGTCAGGAGGACCTTCAACACCGGGTTAAGCTATAAAACAAAAACATTTTAACATTTAACAAGAGCACTGCTTAATCAACCAGCTGAAAATGAAAAGGGTATGGTCCAGTTGGAAATCTAGCAGATATCACTATACTGATTGTCACGCTGGCAAAAAAAATACTAATTCTGAGTTCTAAAAATCTAACTCTGAACATCGTCCTCAACACACCATACCGATGGGGACACATGGTGAGGGCATCATCATACTAAAGGGATGCCCCCTCCCATCAGAGATAAGGAAGCTGGACCAAGGGGAAGGGAAGCCTGCACAAAAATGCACATGCACAACCCTGTACCTGCTTCCGAGAGGCAGTTGCAGTTGCATCGCTCATACAAGCTTACTTTCTAAAAGAAGATTTGCAATTTTTCCACTATGTCAGACTCTTCACCGGTAGTGAAAATGGAGACGAGCACGTAGAACCGCCTTACATAAACATATAACCAGAATGATTGAAAATTAGGAGGAGCACTTATTTTGATGATCCATCCAGAAAAAGAAAATCCTCCACTATACCAAGTAAAACATTGCACTGGAAAAACGATCTAGAAATAAGCAAAAGTTCTTAAATTAAGTGTATTTAGCCTTAATTTGAGTAGGTAAATGAGTTTGCCAATGGAATTAGTTTTTTTACTCTTAAAGATAAGTAGATAACATGTGCTTGAAATAAGACAATGCAATTACGTTTTCTTATATTACGTGTAAATTGTCTTGTTCCATTGGCAAAATGTCACTTTTACCTCCTCAATCCAAGAACAAACGCACTTATTTTAGAAAAAAGTACTTATCTATATTCCGATTTTTTCCAGTGTGTTGTTGCTGAAACCGATGGAGTTTTATTTCCAAGTTTATAATATCTTATTTTATTTATCTTAAACCAAAACACTTGCCTTTGTCATGTCTCTGTCCATCTTCACCACCTTTTCCATATTTGCCCCAGTGCCAAGCCGAAATGGTCGACCCTCAGAGCTGCTACAAATTGGAGTGAGTGAAAACATGTTTAACTGAGAGAAACTGACATTAATAATGGCAACAAAAATATAAATCATCTGGTAAGATGAATAGTACCTAAGAAGTGGCTGTAAAACCTCATGGGACGACTGATCTTCTCTTTTGTGGATGAAAATCGACAGCTTTCCATCTACTGCTTCTGCCTCCTCCCCGATATCATCCGTCTTGAGAGCTCCTTTAGAGCTTGCCCGGGAAAGACTGGTATCTGGTTCAGAGGAGCTGGGGGAGAGGAGTGTCTGACAACCTGAGACAAGAAAGGAAAAATTTACCTCAAGAGTAATGTACAAAAAAGGAGGGACACATTTTTTTTTTCCTCCTTGGCCGTAGATACAAACCTGGTACTACATAATCTGCCAGCTTAGCCAGTAGCAAGGCAGCAATACGTGAAGCTGGGTCACTGGCATCCTGCTGCTCAGCATCCAGGGTATTGATCGAGTAACTCCATGACGGCAGGGCTACATTACCACAGTCCTCAACACTCATGAGAGGCAGTGCGGCTCGGCACAGCTGCAAGATGATGAGTACTAGCTTTGGAGAGGGTCTCTGATCAAGCAGCAAGGATAGGAGCTTAGAAACACAGGCAGGCTGGCTAAGAATAGCTTTCCCTATGTGGCTCCTGTGATAAAAACAAAGAAACGTATAGGTATATGGAAGGAAGACGAATTAAAGATATGCAAAAAGAGCTTTAGCTTTACCTGGAGAGATCATTGAGCAGACTGAGAACATCCTGTAAGGCATCATTGCCAGCTGCCTGATTCCCACAGCACTCTGTTGCTCTGGCCAGATGATTGGTCAGCAGGCTGGAAACCTGCCTTGCCAGACCAGAATGAACTGCATCTGTTGAACCACCTTTTAGAGACAAATCGAATGAGTTGACCTTTCATAGCCAACCACAGCAATAGAATAAGGTTTGCCTGTTAGCAGATCACAAACCTTCCACTTTCTCCCACTCGATGCACCGGTTGGCCAGCACCTGAAAAGCAGCCCAGGCCATGGTGGCCACTTTCTGCTTTTTGGTCTGCTTCTCATTTGAGCTGCATTCTCTTTGACCACTTAAACTGCAAAGTTTATCCATGAGCTGGACGAGGCCGCTCCGAACAAGGCACTGCTCCTCACTCCTATAATACCAGATTAGATTAGTTCATCAAAACTGATGTATTCATGTCTTAGCCTGATGCTGCAAAGTTGATTGACTTGCCTGGTATAGGGAATTGTGCAAAGCAAGCCAATACTGTTGGCACAAGCAATAGGGTAGCGAGCACATAATGACACTACAGAGGTCATGGTCTCTCCAAAAGCTTCCTGCACCTGCTCAACCATCCCACCACAGGTCAGCTCCTCAATCCTGAACAGATGATAGACATATAAACACATAAAACAGCTTCAGAAATAAGATAGAACTTGGCTGGTCATCTTTTCTTACCTTGGGCCTCCTTGCAGCACCATGGTAACAGGTCCTACCAGATGAGTTACCCCGCCCACTCTGACTGCAGCAGTTAGGAGCTCTCTCATATGAACAAGCGCCTGCTTTCGTGTGCTGCCTCGTCTCCAGCGCGTCTGTGCAGCAGACAGGAAACTGCTGCTCGACACCTATTGAACCAGACAGGTAAACTTTTTATTTTTGAAGTTTTTACAGCACTAGTAGCTCATTTTTTTCAACAGTAGGCTGACAGGAAAGGGGGTATGAGGGAGAGATATGCAACAAAGGACCACAGGTCCGATTCGAACCCGGGTCGGCCACGTCAAGGACTAAGGCCTGGGTACATGGGTCCTGCGCTAACCACCGCGCCACTGAAGCACACCCCAGATAGGGAAACATTACGCACCCGAATTCACCACATGAATCCAGCAAAAAACATTTCAAACAGGCAGGTGAGGGATAATCGATAAATTGACACCACTTACAGCCTGATCAGGTGTGGTTCCGATGAAAGCAAACAGTTGTCCCAGCAGTACACTGTAAGTCGGCTTGTCTCTGCCATCTTCAATAGCCAGAGACTGCAGCAAAGTAAACGAGCTGCTCCGATGACTAGTCGGATGGTGGCGCCTTCTGCAAATAGTTGAAGTAAAACACTCAACCTGCAGTCTTTTAATTAATGTTTGTATCAATTGTAATAGCCTGAAAAAAAATCAAACCTTTGTTGAGCATGATTAAACTCCAAGTCTTGGTTTGCAATCATTTCCAGGTCAGAGGGAGCAGACATGCTGCGTAAAAAGACCGGCTGCTTAACCAAAGGAATCACCGTCTTGGCATCTGATACAGACTTGGACGCTGTCACAAAAACAGCACCACTTGGTGTCAGTAAATAATGACTTCCAGAGGATCAAAAGAACATACATAGATTAAAAAAAAAAAAGTAGTGGACTACCTGGACCTGGTGTCCCAGCTGGTGTGGTGGTTAGGCTTCTGCAGTGTGGAGCGATGGTGACATGGAGAAGTAGCTCGGAGCGGTTCATCAGACTTTTTACAAGCATTTTGGTTTTAGCCAGTGGGACCATGCCCCTGATGAGCGTGTTGTTTACCTCCTGGAAGAACTTCTCTCTATGTGTGCAAGAAGAAAAAAAAGGTGTCAGTGCAGGACTCACAATGATCATAAATAAATACCTTCAATTAACTTGATATAAAACACTTCAACATCTTATATCAACATCTTAATATAACATACAGAAAGAAATGTACATTCTTTAAATAACATACAGAAAGAAATGTACATTCTTTTTCTCAATGTTTCTTAAAATAGCATACCTTTTTACATATACATAGATATACGTACAGATATATATATAGAAGAGCTATATGTGTATATATATTTTATCTCTTTTTATTCTTATTTTTATCTTTATTATATTGTATAGTTGGATGTGTGTATATATCATGTAAAACTGTAACTAGAGCGTGTAACAAAAGTAATTTCCCTCTGGGATTATTAAAGTATTTCTGATTCTGATTCTTTGTTCACTAATTAGTGAATTAAGATTTAAGACTGTTTTAGCTGCAGTAATTTTGGCTATTTAAATGGACCCGATCACACTTAGTAACACTCCACAGTAAGTTCACTTCAGAACTAAAGCTTGATTAAACTACAGATAACTCCACCTACTGACTCTAAAGGGTAAAGCCCACAGATAAAATCAAGGCTTTACTTCTATTCACACTCTTAAATAATAATTTCAATAAAAAAGTATTTTTCTAAATTGTATCAATTATTTACACACTTCTTAAACTTTAGATTTACAATACAAGATACAGATTTTATGTTTCTTTGCAATTAATTCATATTCTCAGTCAGTAAAGCATTTAGAGCAAAGCAATACATGGCTAATTTATGGAAACATCCATCTATGTAATATTTTTAAAAAGCAGCAATAAGCAGTAGTCCATTATTCAATAATTATCCATTAAGCCTCTCTGTGGCCGTCATCGTTGTGTAATGTAACATGCTGTATAAGGTTTAGAGGTTAATAGCGTGGTAAAATATCAATTAAAGGATAAAAAGAGAAGATACTGAGATGAATAAATAAATTACTCTGAATCTACAATTTATGGTAGCTAAGAACACGAAGAGTAAAGACATGAAGACTTTTTATTAATGGTTTGTTTGTAAACTCATGTCATATCACAACATTCCCCAATATACAAATAAATATATATGATTTTTTTTTCTACTGTTTTTTTGGTCCTAAACCCTAAAATCATCTTGCTTTTGATCTTTATTTGTGTTTGTGTTTTTTCCTCAGTTCTTAATTTCTTTTTTGTATCACCACTCGTCTAATGTATAACTTAGACCAAAAATCAAGTTATCTCATGCATTTATATTACATGTATTTAGTGTTAGGATAATTACCATTGATGATGTGAGTTAATTACACCCTAAATGGGAAGTATATATGGAAATTTTAGAGGGAGTAAGCATGATGTGTGTGATTTCATTGCATTATGTTACTTTAGTCCCCCTAATATAAAAGCATAGTCTTAAACTATCATTTTTTACTGACCTCAATGCCAGAACAACATTCTCTAGATCACTGAAGTCGAATGGTACCTCCTTCAGTGAGCAGAGTAATTCCAGTTCCTTCATTTTGTTCTAGCAGGAAAAATACAACTTTAGCAGCTTTGAAATTAACAATCACGATTTTCTTTCTAATAGCTTAAAATATGCATGGCATAACATGGTGCATGATACCTCAAAGAAGTGATAGTCATGAAAGAAAGGAGTGTTATTCTCCAGTTTTCCTTGCTGAGCCTCCTCTACCTCATTCTGCCACTTCTGTTCCAATTCTGCAACACTCTGAAAGCAAAGGAAGTCTTAATCAACCACAGTTGGTATTCTTTTCTTTTTTCAAGAGTTGTTCATAAGATATTATTTTCTTTTTCTTGTCCCAGCATCTGATCAACTTTATCCCAATAATATTTCTAAATAAATTGTTTAACTGCAGGTTGTTTTGAGCAGTAAACATTAAAACTAATAAGGCTGAGTAATTTCCAATCTTTGGCTCACCTGCAGCTGACGCTCCATTGCATTGATCTTCTTAAAGGTCTCAGCCATAATCTTACAGACCAGGTCATACTCCTCAGTGTGATCTTCACGATATTGATAGTTCACAAGTGACTGGAGACCATCCACTAGACTCAGATGTTTAATGACGCAGGATACAATGACCTCTTCTAGGACATCTGGCCGGATCACCTCCCTAATGTACAACAACGTAAAGGGGGGAAAAAGTTAATTGAGGGAAAAAAAATTAAACGTATTTTCCGGACTATAGAGGGCACCTCACTATAAGCCACACCCACTATTTTTTTTTTTTAATTTTTTTTTTTAATTTATAAGCAACACCAGGTTATAAGCCGCTGATATCTAATGAACTATCCCTCACCAAACCTATAGGGGGAGCTCTACATTAAGCCCCTGGAGTAGGGATGAAGAAAAAATGCTAGCTCCCGTTAGCTCTGTTGGCTCACAGCAGTAAGAGCTTCTACTCAAAGATGGGGCTTCGTCAGCTCTTTATTTCAGCTCAGCAGGAGTTGAGCTCATTCTCTTCATTCACTCGGCAGCTTTAATTGCAGCAAATTAATGGGAAAAATGTGTGATAAATGAAAATTATCCCCACAGTCTTTCATTTCCAACTTTGACTTCCCCCACTGGCAATTAGGAAAAATCAACAGGAAAGCTGTACTTTCTTATAATAAAAATTATAAGAATAATTGAACTTTCTCATATTGGAGAAAGTTACCTCTGCATTTAACCCATCCCCAGGGGCTGCCACTGTGCGGCGCCCGGGGAGCAATCGAGGGTTAAGGGTCTTGGTTAGGAACCCGGAGTGCAGGCTGTGGGGATTAAACCGGGTATTTGCAAACTTCTTAGAGCACAAGCGCACTGCTCGAACCACTAGGCCAACACTCCCCCTAATAAGCTGCATGGTTCAGAGTGTGGAAAAAACCTAATGCCTTATAGTCTGGAAAATACTGTAAACTTACTGCTATTCAATAAGAATTTAACCCAATCATCCTCTTCATGTGTTGGAATGACTCCCTTACTTAATGCTGGGGCGGAACTGGGGTCGAGCCCTTCCAGAGACCTCCCTCAGCCTGCTCATGATCCCCGGAGGAAGGCGGATACGAGGCAAATCAAAGTAGGACCCAGGCATGAGGCCTGGAGGAGGAATGAGCACATCAGAGGGGTAGGTAAACTCCCGGTCCTCCTCTATAGTGAGTGGCAGTGGTGAGGGACTTGGCGTGAGAGCAGGCGAAATGGCACCATTTGTTTCCACCTGCCATTGGCATCTAAATGAAAAGAAATGCCTGTCAGCATATTATCTTTGTAGACAATAATTCTGCTCTGTTTAACCATATAACTTCATATAAGGTCAAATATTCCTTATATAATTACTTCAGTCAATAAATGGATTTTCATTTAGCTGCATCACCTTTGTAAAAGCTTTGAGCATAACAAATCCTGACAAGCTTCCTCTTCCCTTGTCACCTCTGGGCCGTTGTAAAGAATGCGGAGCATTGAGCAAGCTAGCACTGACAGACCCAATGCAAGGTCTGCGAGAAATGGAAGGCCCCCAGAGACATCCTCAGATGACTCCTGTTAACAAAACAAATGATCAGGAATGACTTTTGCACTGCCAGCATTTCTAACTAGCTGGGAATATGGAAGTCAAGCACTTCCAGCTGTTACCTGAGCTCTGACTGTACAGGCGAACCCCCACATGGCTTTATCAGGAGTGTTATGTTCACGTCCACTTCTCATTTCAAAGGAAAATGTAACAGTATCTCCTTCAACCTATGTAGGACAAACACCTGATGAGAACATGTATGTGTCACAGATTTAAGATTTTAATTATCATTATTATTTACCTTTACAAGATCCTTGGGCCATCCTGTTCCTAAGACACTGCGACTCCCATACCCCAGAGTGTTTCCTCCGTACTCTGTGACTTTACGGCTGTTGGTGTTAGGACCAGCATAGATAACCAGCTAAAATACAGAACAACATACAGAGTAAGAAATGGCTTAGAATCTGTGAAGAAGACACAAAGAATGAGAAATATTACAGCTATAAAGAGGTATTACCTTGTCATAGTCATACTGCGAGGAACAGCGAGCATCGAAGCGCAGGTACAGGCAGCGGGCTCCAGGGATGTGAACGGTCTCTTTAAACTTGTAATTATCCCTCACAGGATGCATTGTCTCTACCGTTTTCCCAGCAGCCCACGGAGCAGGGATCTTAAGCCCAGTCAAGAAACCTGCCTCTTCTCGTTCATCAAGGATTCTTGTTTCAAAGACACAAATGATGATAATGGTGGGGTTTTTTTTAAACACATGGCATTTTGCATATTATTCCATGATTTTTTGGTTTGTGACAATCTTTGGTTAAACATTGGAGGTTTTTTTCCCAGTAAATTTGGACAGCCAGGTGTCGTTGCTTTCAATTTCAAAACTATTAGCTACCCCCTGTTAGTATACCACCTAACCTCCTAAAATAAAAACTGTGGTCAATTTGTGGTTTAATGTGGCAAACTGAAAAGAGGTTCAGGGGTTATGAATATTTGCACAGTATTGTGAATATGCTGCTGAATAGATATTAAAACTGGTTGTATTAAAGTGGTAATATACACAGAAAGAAACTGAGTAATGCTCATTATTTTTCTACTTATTCCTCTGCATGGGGAAACTCACTTGTCATCGGCAGCACATGCCTTTGCTCCCTGAGCAAGAGAGCCGCCTACAGGTAGAGGATCCTCAATGAAAAGGAGAGACTGAGTCTTAAGCAGCAAGGCAGTCTATTACAAAACAAAAGAAATACAAAAAAGGTGAGCATGGATTTCTGCTTATCCTCCCCCTTTCGCCATCTAATGAAATAACTCTATAATATTGGCCAAACTAACCTGGCTGGTATAAAGTACTAACTGCACCAACTGAGGCATGAGAGCATCAGCCAGGGTGAGAGTCTGCAAGGTGGGATGCATCAGGGAGGTGAGTAGCACAGGTAAAAGGTGCCCAAGCATTGTTGCCTTGGTTACTTGCTCCAAGCCCTTCAACCTGAACAACACAGGGAGAGAAGGTGTATCATAATTATACAAGCAAGAAAAAACATTTTACAACCTGTTACAAAAAAATACTGATCAAAAGTGGTTGGTTCAAAAATATAAGAAATAGGTACACTCATAGCTAAGCTACATGCTAAGCAAAAAAAGGGTGAAAGGTTAAGGTTCTGTTAATTGTTACAATTTATATCAGAAGAAATTCACTGGGAGACTGACTGCTGAGGTTAGTAACTCAAATGTGACATTTTCCCAATAAATAATGACAATATACAAGTACTACCATATCATGCTGCAACAATAGTCTTCGGGGTGGAAGCTGCTACTTTACAATAAATATTCAGTCTTATCCATTTTACAAATGAGGAAGTATTTTTTGGTTTGTTTGTTTTTTTAAAGTGGAGAATTAAAAAGCCCAGAACTTTAACCAGCTTTTTAAAAGGAGATCATTTTCAAAAAATATGAGTAGAAACGTTTGCCTCAATATCTAAAGAAGTTAATGGGAAAGGGATAACCAGAAGCTTAAAGTTCCTGATTAACCTACAGCACGTGGATTTCAAGAAGCATGCTGAGAAATCAATGTTAGCATGCTTTAGGAAACATAATTCAATGTAAAGATCTGTATTCTATACAACCCATACAGATGAAGAGCGACATTTAGTTATGCCAATTGCTAACTGATGATACCACAGAGGGAGTGAAAGTCAACTATATAATGAAATTGTCTAAAAGAATAGTAAAACCCTGAGTTAGAGCACACCTCTGTTCCTCATATTCTATTCTACACATTGTTCTCATCACTTCTTAAAATATTTTATTTAGAGAAAGTAGCTCAAATCTGTAGTCAACTCACCTGGTCTCTCTGTCAGATATGTCACTGTTAATCAGAGCTGTGGTCACCTGCTGCAGGGTCTCCAATACTTCATCACAACCCACCAGGATTTTAGTTGAAAGAGACAAGATGCTGCTCTGGAGCTCCTGAGGACAACACAGAATAGGCCCAGACTTACGTAACATTGCCTTAATGTTTTTTAATGATACTAAATCAATCACACATTTTTATAGACTGTAATAAACTTATAAAGTCATATTCCACAATATCTACTGTACAACTCCACTAACTTGTCTTTGAGCTGCTGGGAGGGAGCACTCAAATAGAACCCACAAAAAATCATCCCTTCTGCAGAAGGTTATTTGCTTTAAAATACAATTTACATGAAATACTTTGTTACAATAAACAAGTAAGCTGCAAATGCAAAACTTTAAAGCGGCCACATCCACTGCGTAAAGTCATAGCTTGGCTTCTCAAAGACAGGCAAAGCTTAGACAGTGGTAGGGTAGTTTAAGGGGATGTTTACCTGTACCTTCATTGTTTCCCCTTGCAGGGAGCTATCGCTATCGTCGCTTTCATCTGGGCGGATAAGAATGGTGTTACTGAGGAGGTGGTTTTGAACAGCCATGAGGTAGCGCAGACAAGGTGAGACCACCTTAAAATAAACAAGAGCAAAAAACACATAGATGAGTAGTAATACTCAAACTTCAAAGCATGTCATCTGTCTGTATTGTTGACATTCAGGAGCCGCTGAACTGTTTTTCATACTGGCACAGTGGAGAGCAGCTTCAGGAAATCATCTCTGGCGACAGTCTGACATTTAGTAATAAGGAGGCAGGATTCCCGGACTACGGTCTTCAGGACACAATGCAGAAGCTCATCATTTAGTCTGGAAATAAAGGGATATTTGAGACAAATAAAATGGGATACAAATAAAAATCATGTTTAACTAAAATGGCCATTTTATTGAGTCAGAGACATAAGTAACCTGTAGTGGTCATCATCTTCACTCCCAAATCTATTCTTCTGTAGTTGTTCAGCCAAGTTGGTAAGAATTACATCGCGAAGTTGAGACAGGCCACCGTTTCTTTCACCTGAGTTTTCCATGCAAAACATGAGCCTTAGTACCATCATACACCATTAAAAGCACAACCCTTCTTTTTAATATAATATCACCTTCAGTTAGAACCAGTTTTAGAAGTTTGTTCAGTTCTGTCTCTCCTTGATACAGAGTGTTTAGGCCTGAGCTAAATAGGGAGAGAACAAGGAGGCTGGTTAGAGAAAAATAACAATTACCATTAATAAATAGTGTGTGAGTGCAGAATTACCTGATGGCCAGGCACACCTCTTTCTGTATCTCTGTTCCTATCTGATCAACTGGAGCCATGAGCAACTGCCACAGGAGCAGGCCTGATCGCCTCACACTCTCTCTATCCTGCTCTGACTGAGGATTAAAGAACCTGAAAACCACCTAGAAAACACAACCATAACAATAAAAGAAATGGTTGTCAACCTATCCATTTGCTTATAAGAAATCTTAAGTCACTTTTTGGATAATGCTACGTTCACACCACAAGAAGCAGAGGTACAGTAGCAGAAGCAGCTAGTTTACATGCAAGGTCAATGGTTGACGCGCATCAAGGCCCAGCAAAAGGTCCCGCAACACGTTTTGAGCAGCAGGAGCAGCTCATCTGAGCAGCTGAAACAGCGTCTCACAAACTTCTGAGCATCTGACGCCTTTCAGAAGCAGCAGTTGCTAGAGTTGGAAAAATGTAACTTTTGAAGCTTGATGTACCCGATAAATCAATCAAAAAAGCTGATCTGAGGCTGGCAGGGAGACGGTCGTAGCGCTGCTGATGCAGATCGCTATGATCTTTTTATGAACTTAAAAGCTCGAAACCTGTCGGCAAAATATGTTCGCTTTTATTATTCTGGTGCCCGCAGTTTGGATTATTTACGTGAAACACGCATTCCGGCCGCAGCAAACAGTAGCGGAAAACCGCAAAGAGGTGGCCGGGCCAAAAGCTGCAGTTGAAGGGATTCCTAGTGACAGCGCACCGCCGGTGTATGAGGTCTGAGCAGTTCCAACAGCAGGATAATATTTGAAGGCAGGATCGTAATCTTGAACTGATTGCACAGATGAAGTTTTCAGGTGGACTTTCTCAATTAAAAACATATTAAAACTACTTTACCCACTGATCACAGCAAATATAGCTGCCATTGTTACAGGCAAAGAAAGAAGGTAGCTCCGCCCAACTCGCATCAGACCCACTTTTTGATCGTGCAGCTAGAGCAGCACAGATGCTTCAGCCACGCGTCAGAACTAAACTTGTACAACATTAAAAAGGAAGCAGCACGTGCGTTTCTGCTGCTCCAGTTGCTTACGGTCTGAACGTAGCATAACTTCAGTCATTCGGCTCTGTAGCATACCTGGAAAACTACCAAAATGCAGCGGATAATGCAAGTATCTCCATTGACCATGGCCTTTTCCATGATGTCGCAGATGCTGCTAAAGTGACGGGCTTCAATGGGATGCTGTTTACCCAGCAGTGCTTCCAGGGGCAGGCTGTTGCTGCTGGCGGCCAGTAGGTTGAGCTGGTGGATACACATAGCACCTACATGATGAAGTAGCTGGTTGATTACCTCCCCAGTGGCAACTGTTTCCTCTGTAAAAAAAAATGTTTTTCTGCATTAATCCCATGTTTGACCTAATTGTAAAAATATGAAGTGGTGTCGGTTCTGATTGGGTCTACCTTTGGGTTCCTTGATGACATGGCTAACACCGAGTCTATGGCACACATGATGAAAGGCTTGGTTCCCAGGATTGCACCACTGATCTATGTAGTCACTGGAGCAGGTCCATATCAAGTTGTTCAATGCATCATAACATGCTCCTTTAATCAAAAAATGCAGATGAAAAACAAAAAGGTCACATTTATTGATATAAATTCATATCATATAAATATATATATATATATATATATTTTTTTTTTAAACAATCTAAATGACTTCATTTGAAGTTACCTAGCCCTGCTACCTGGGCGCCCCTGCCAAGAGAACTGCCAGGAGCATCAATGAGGTCGGCGCGGCTGCTGAATTGGCCATCAGCCAAGTTAAAAACCAGGCTGGAAGCTAAAACTAAAAAGAGAAACAAATGTGTCATGTTTATATAATTTCAGGACAAGCACATACTAAACGTAATAATTCTATTCAGTTTCTTTATATAGCGCCTCTCAACTCATGAGGAAAAACTTCTTGTTGTCTGTTCACTCTCAAAAATCCTTAAGTATGATTGCCAATCAGCATCGTGCAGACAGTTTCACGACCCCCCCTGCTCCATAGAGCCCCTCAATAGACCGAGATTTAAACCTCAACAGGGATTTCTCAGAGAAATGTTGCTCCAGAGCAGAGGGAAGATCTCGCCAGAGAGAAGAATAAACAGCTGATTAATGCGCAGCACACTCATTAAATTAGGAATATGTTTGTGTATATTTATTGGAATTTAATAACTACATTTACGAAGTTTGACAATGGATATTTGACCAATAATTTTACAAAATATACAGGTTAGGTAGTTGGATCGCATCTAACAAACTGACTTGTGAAAAAAAAAAATCTGACATCCGTTTGAAGGGATTCTAGAAAACTGACAAAAACAGTATAATAATACATTTTATTTAGCGTATTATAAATCTATAGCAGGAATATCCTGACAGGTCAGAAATGCTTTACAGAAATGCTTTACAAAGATACTAACTAACTGGTGGATTTGTGCTTACTTTTAAGAGAAGACAGGCTGCTGGTGCCTCCAAACAGGGAACGAGTGGCAGAGCTACCAGACACACCAGGGGGGGAAACAAGCATTACTAGATAGGTGCCACACACGTACATGGGGGTCTTTCTCAGCGTCTTCAGGGGGAGGCCGCAACTAGTGTTTACAGCTTGAGAGGAATAAGGTGACAGGTTAAAAAACAGGGTTAGGGCAAACACATGTTACATCATGTCTTATCCTCTGCCTTTACCTGACTGTTCCTCTTTGACGGTGTTGGTGACTGCGGAGCCTGTGAGAGCAGCCAGTGTGGCAGAATGGGAGGCCCGGAAACGTGACATTCGACTCAAGAGAAGTTCATTCAAGCACTTGGAAGACTCGCCCTCTTTGCGAGTTAGAATAACTCTTTCTTGCAAGATGTCTGCAACACACAACCCTGTCTGTGTCTGTGCCATGCAAAAGATAAAGAACACATAGATGAATACATTTTTTTTTTTTTTCAATAATGTAACAGAATATACTGAATGTCTGTGGCCCTCACCGACAGGTGAAAGACATCCATGAAGACAGAGTGGCCTTTCTGAGTTTTTTCATTGAGACTTGCTGGGGACCAGACCCAGTAGAGATAGGTTCCATCTGAGCAGAGATGCAGCGTGGTCATGCTACTGCCCACTGGGAAGTGATGGGCTGGCATGGGCACAATCTGGCACACCTGAAAGGGGAACAACAAATAATAGAATGGAATAAGAAACATTTGGGATTTCCCCAGCCACGGTGAGTTTGGTAGAAATTAAATAAAATTAAAATTAATTAAATTAACAAAATATATCAAAAGCATATCTTTTAGACTCTGAATTTTCTGCATATTCTGGTAATATATATCACTGTAGTCAACCAATATCCTGGACGATTTTGAAATTTTTTAGGTATGAAAAGTAAGACATGTCCGGGAAAAAGAGGACATCTGGTCCCCCTTCCATATCAACAATTTGATGTTTCAGTGAGTGAGTGCTCGTTGCTATGATGCGTCTTTGCTCAGCAGCTTCGCTCGTTGTAAACCAACCAATCAGAGCACAGCTCATCTAAATATTCATGAGCATACCACAGAAGGAACAACACCTTGTTTCATTCTGGGGCTCTTAACTAGGCTTGCATTAGGGTTCATAGAACAGCAAATATGCCATTTCAGCCCAACCAATGTTACACACCCTATTCAGAGAACTTAAGGACCAGCACCAAATACCCTATAGAATCATCCTATGACCCTTTTAAACTTGCAATACTGAAATTTAAGAGTACATTTTTTCACAGTAAACTTAAAGTAGACAGTACCTGGAGAGTGAAGGGGTCAACAACCTGGCACAGCTGATGAGGCTTGGCATCAAAGGAAGAGGGACGATGGAGAAGACGGCCACTGCTGAACACGACCCAGCCTGGCTCCAACTCTTCATTTCGACAATACACAAAACCCCTGCATATAGGCAGAGCTAACATGTCAGTACTGCAAATATTTGGACAAGTTACTTATAGCTTTTTTGTTTTGGTACTACTGGCCTTTATAATAAAGTATCCTGTCAAGACTTTTGGTTTAAAGCGGGGGGAAAGACATAAGGCAAATATCAACAGGGCAGGACTGAGAACCTCAGTCACACCTGATAAACATTTATGTGGCAAATTAATTAAAACAAAGAAAACCTATTTTTGGTTTTTGCAAGCATATGCAAAAACATACATGTCAAAATAAGACTTTAATTGGCTTTGAAGCTTACAAATTAAACCAATTCTATAGTTTCTAAAATAATAAATACTTAGGTCTTACTTAAATCTTAAACCCTACTTTACATATTTCAAAAGGTAATTCCTTAAAAGATCTGTGGCGACTCAGAACCCAATCAAATAATATCACGTCTCCTGTTGCTAAGCATTAAATTTGACCAGTTTTACTTCTGAGTCTCAGATGTCAGAAAAACAAAACATTGTTACACACATGAATAAAATATACAAATACATCTCTATAACTTAAATAAGGTATAGGCCTATATACACACTTTGCATTTGTAATAATTGATATTATTTTTATCATTTCATTATTTTAAAGAAGAAATAACAACATAGATAATTGTCATGTTCAAACATTGTGAGCAGTGAAAAATATTTTAAACCGCTTAAGTGATATTAACCTGGGAGAAAACCACAGAAGGGAAAGAATTCCAGAAAACAAGAGGACAGTTAACAGAGGAAAGGAATACATTTTTTTTTACTTCTATTAGCCATGAAGGATGAAGAATCAGGAAATGATGAAACCTCAGTGAAAGACATTGACACAAGGGAAGAATAGATTAGATCTTGAATTTAGAAGGCGAGGCTTACACATAGTGATACTAATGGTGATTACTATGCTAAGTGCTATGAAAGGTTTTTAAAATAAGTGTGAAATATGTACATCGTGTGACTGTTATGTTCTGAGCGGGGACCTAATACGCCTTTATCTCAAGAGTTTGTACAAAGCAATTCTCCTGAATATGGAGAAGCTGCATATTCTGTTTATCATAGAGAAGTAGAGCATCTGGTTTCTATCTTGTCTTATTTGGGTTTTGCTGCTTCTATCTACATCTCTCTCCCTTTATCCTTTTCTCACATCCTCCAAATATGTGTGCAATTTAATCATAGTGATAAGGGACATTAAGTGACATGTAGGTCCTCTGTTTAAGCCCACATTCTGGTCCTACTTTGGGAGGACTGAGACTTCTACAATTAGGCATGACACATTTCTAATTTGCTTTAGCCTTTGCAGCTTAGTGTTAGTGATTTAACTGTTATCTCTATTAGAAAGTAGGCTGATTGGCGTCACTGTGTTGGCCCTCTAATTTGACTGGCCGCCTATGATCATAAGTGAACAAATAACTGAAAAACTATCAGTGTAGAATGTGTCCTACATGCTTTCTTTATGTGTACAGCTAGAATGACTACTTTATTTAATAAGAACCGGTTGTGACAAGTTACTTACAGTTAGCAATCTGTCATGTTGTAAAATGCTGGAAACAGCTAGAAGAAATGAGGCTGCAGCAATGAATTTCACTCAAACTATCCTCTACAGTCAGCTTTAAAAGAACATTGTTGCATCTCCTCTGCATCTAATTTTATATTTGTTTTTTAATAAAATATCCAGATGGATCAGGGAACATATTTCAGTGGATGAAGAGATGCATGGTGGAATGAGTGTCACGTTACCTAAGTGTTCCATGTAAACCAGAGCCAAGCTTGCTTAGTCCTCTCCCAGAAGAATTGGTGGTGTACAGATATAGACCATCTGTGGCTAGACAGCGCCCAAGATCTGTGTCTGCAAGACAAGAGGTACGCAGTGGAAATTAAAAGTAGTGATATTGATCAAAAGAACTGTTTGGGAAATAAGGAACTACAATGGTGGAATTTTAAAATGCAAGAATTTAAATCTCATCAGTGATCTAACTAAAGCAGGCTGGTTTCTGGGTGTAGAACTGAATGAATTTAAAGAAAGGCAGTTGTATTTTTATACCAGCATGTCAGGGTGACAGCAACACTCCTTAGTGTGGAATTTTACACTAGAAGATCTAACAACTAATATTCAATAATAGTGGGATATTATCACATGGATAATATATTTTTTTCTTTTTTTACATAAATTTTAATCCAACCCAGGCAAATATGAGTTGATTTTCAATTTATAAGGCGCAGAGAAAAAAGTGAAAAAATATCTTACAGATCGGGATCTGCGTATTGTGAGTAGCGAGAGCCTCTCTTTACACACTCAATAGGCGTGTTTCCATCAGCTTTGTTTAATGCTCAGTATGGCTAAATTTAAAAATATTCCGTCAAATTTGCAAAAAAGTTTTATGCTTGCTTTAGGTGGTTTTTGCAAAAAAGGGTTGATGCAAAAATCTGGAGATGGAAACAATTTCAAATCAGCTCCGATGTAGAAAAGTTTTACCTTACACGACTGATCAACTGTTTCTGCTGTTCTTCTGCTTCCCACGTTTCTTTTATGCACATAAACATGGCCGGAAGCAACACTGCCATTACTAGCTGACATGTTAACGTAAGAACAACTTGCTCAATTGCAACACATTCATTTAAACGTTCTTCCATTACTGATCTGTGGTCAGGTGCCACATTGCAGCCTTTATTGCCTGTCTATTAGCTGGAAAAAAAAAAAGAAAATCGGATCAAAGATTTTTAAAGTCTGACGCTATCGCTGTGATCAGGGCTTAAATAGGCATTACGAAGTTTCAGAGCTGAATGCTGGTCACATTTGAATATCCACAAAATCCATTTTGAAAAAAAAATCATTTGATTGTTTGTTGGGTCTGACTCATTCATCAAGGACACGCTTGACATCACATCCACCCAACACATGAGAACATCCGATCCAAGGTAAATCAAGGAAAATAGGTGACAGGCATATAAATAGATGATGCCAGTCGCCTCATAAAACAATGTTTTAGTTGTAAAGGGTAAAATAAAAAGGCTTTATTAAAGATATTTTCAGTAAAAACGAACTGAAAAATGACTCCACTTAAAATCCATGTTGACTGCTGTTTTCAGTTGGCAATGAAAACCGTGATAATGGCAAAAATATGACACTAAAGAGTCTAAAATGTCAACTCCGTCATGTTGCTTTGCTTTGAGGACATCAACAAACTGTGAAATCTTGTTTAAGTAAAGAACTGTGCAATAGACTCCTCAATTTCACACAGAGGGAGTGATGATACCTCAAGTCTTAATGCAAAAAAAGGAATGACCAATTACAGACAGACTTCTGTAGTTATAAGTGAAAGAATTTAACAATCTAGTGCATCAGGCAGTAAATCCCAACTATTTCCAATCATTTATCAAGATGGAAAAAAGCTCTTCTTTATTTTAAAGAGATTTTGTTTTACTGAGCTTTTTTTTTTTTTTTTTTTTTTTTTTAAATGAGGAAAGCAAGAAAACGAAGGGAGCTGGGAGCTAATTTATAAGAGTCCCATAACTTGTTTAAGGGAGACAGCTTTGTGAAAAATGTTTTCTTATTTTAGAAAGAGATACTGGGCTTGGCAACAACTGGTATCAGTAAACTGAACTTTATAACCAACCAGAAAATAGCCCCAAACAAATATTTACCTTTATTTTCTGCTCCTCCAGTGGAATTATCAGGAGTGGGTAGCATATCCTCAAAACCCCAAGACACACTGTGTTTGCCCCCTAAGAGGCAGGATGGGGAGCCAGGGCCTCCTTCAAGGAGCAGAAGTCTGTGCAGGACAAGAAACAAAGTGGTTATATTTTTATATAAAGTACTGAATTGTTTTCTAGACAACCTAAATGGTTTGTCCTACCTGTAAAGCACATCTGACACAGGAAGATGGCCCAAATCAGTTTGTTTTTGCAGCAGATGAACTGTGTGAATGAAAGTCTTCAAAGAGCCCCTGCAAAATCGTTAGCAAGATTTAAAAATTGGGCCACAGCTTAAAAAACCCAAGAGAAAAAACACAGGTGAGAAATCTAAGAACTTTTAAAGAGGTAAAAAGAAGCAGAGGTACTCAATTAAACGAAGACATATCTACCCAAAGGGACGGCATTTATGGTGTCAATTAAAATCTAAACACTGTTTTAATGTGAAAGATATTTTCTAGAATGAATTTCTTTAGGGCTGAACAATCAGTGACTGCATGAACCTAACTTATTATAAGTATTTATCAAACTAGTAGAATATTTTTGCAAATTATGTTTATGCAACAATAATGTATAGAGCAAAACACTTAAAAAACAACATTTAAAAAGGTCCACTTTAAAGGTGGACATGAAGATCTAAACATATGAATCAAAGTCTCACATGTTTATTTGGAACATGTTTACTCCCAATAACAGTGACCTTGTTTATGTCTTGTGATGCACAAAGCATTTCAAGCACAATACAGTGGAGCCCACGAGGTTATGCAACCCTCACATTTAGTGACTTCCTAACCAGCCCTATCAGAGTTCAGGAAGCGTAAACCCGATTGTTCTTTGATTAGCTTGAACTCAAATAAAGGGGCTGTAGCTGGATGGTTCCACATAACAAAAACCAGGCACTGAGCAGCTGTGAACATCAGCACAGGTTAAACAAAAAGTGGCCTGTTGTGAAAATGACTGGATAATATTTGTTGCCACCTACAGAATTTAGCATTTAGAAATAATGTGAACATAAACAAGTACAATCGGCTATTCAGGGCAACACCCCTCACATACACATTAACCCACATTTACGGATAATTTTTCTATAAAACACTGAGCAAAGCTGTAGCAAGAAGCAACACATTTAGGTGTAAATCAGTCCCAGAGGCTTAGCAGACTGCATGTTGCAGAACACGGAGAGCTTTGGTTGTGAACAGCTGCATGTAGGGAGCATGCGAGTCCGCTCATGCCCAAATTTCTTTACCTTAAACTTGGACATGATTAATTTAATGCCCCATCTCGTATTTTCAAAGCAAGGCAACATTTTATAGACTGTTTAAAAATTGTACTAAAGCATTGTTACATATGAAGACATTTCTTGTGGAAAATACCTGATCAGATTAAAATTTCTGGCTAACTTTAGGAAATGTTAGTAGAAATAAGAGTGAAATGAACAAGACAAGCGTGAAGAACAGATGTTATTGCCTCACCTGGCGCATGCAAGTGCCACAAGTGCAGCAGCAGCATTTTCCCGCTGTCTGTGTGAGTGAAGAATCTGTGAGCAAGCCTGGGGCTGAGCCTGGCCTGACTCCTGGGGATCATCTTCTAGCCAGGAGCAAAGCAAGCCTTCCAGGCCATTGAGACAGTCTGCAGGTTCTTTGCTCAGGCTGAGAGGCTGGCAGTCCCGGAGGCAGGCTAGAAGTACTTCTGCTGTTACCCCACAGAGCGCTGGATCACTGCGAGTCTGGGATTGCAGAAGGGGGAAGACCAGCAGTAGGGCAACACGGGAAGTAAAAGGAGCTTGCTCAGGTTGCTGGAGGAGACCTTGCCTTTTGAGCAAGGCCAGGGTCTCCTCATCAGCCCCTCCAGTTCCCTCACGATCCTGCTGCTCCTCCAAGGCCAGCTGCCGCTGCGCCGCCCACAGGCCACGCAGTGCATTGAGACGGTACTCCAGTAGACGAGCGTATGCGTTGCTCTGATTCCCACAGACGGCCCGAAGACGCTCTGCAAGCTCAACAGGGTTTTTTGTCTCAAAAGTAAGAATCTGGGGAAGAAAAAAATATTTTAAATATGATTTTAAAAAAAGAAGGACAAAGAGCTTACAGAACCAGAGCAAAAAAGTAAAATTATTATCAATACATGTCTGTCAAATATCCAGTTAATTTGGGGTTCTAAAGTGTATCTGTCTTTTTTGCTGAGAGAAAAGTTTTTTATAAGAATTTCACAAATCTTCAAACTTTAGCACAAGTTCAAAGCAATCAATTGAATGCTGCAGAAAAAAGACAATTCTTTGCAAAAGGCCAAAACTTAACCCATTTACACAGACAAAGGTAAGGAATCATTTCAAGGAAATAAAATCTTGTGACTACAGGTCTTTTGACTAATGGTCAGAGAAAGCAAAGATCATTAGGCATAGTGTATCAAAAGTGAAACAATGTGCACTTAGGCAGCATTTCACATATTGATTACATTTTGCAGCACACGAGTCATAGACCAGAAGAGAAAATCCATTTATACCATTTAGCAGGCACAATTTGTATTGATTCGATTTCAGCAATGCTTCTTATGTTACAGTAACACTTTAACTGGATGCTGGTCCTTCTCCACCCTGCTCTGCAAAACGCCGCTGCCACTCATTTTATGCATCAGATAAAAATAGGCAGAATCACAACACTTACGAAAAGGGAACTATAAGACTAAACCTTTAGCTGGACACTGGAGCAAAATACACAATGAATTTCACAATAACTGAAGAAGAGGACAAAGCACCTATATTATACACCCTCCCTCCCGCATGATTCATATATGCTATGAATCACTACATATATTTTTTAATCATGAAAGACAAAAATTCAGAAGCATGGTTTACATGTGAAAAGTCTTGCTATTTATAACGGGCAATTAATTTACTGTATCTGTGAGCTGATCAAATATCGCCTGCCTGCCTTGTAATTGGCACTCATGTCAAACTAATACTGCACTCCCACTTTAACAATGCTCTATATCTAATCCACCCCTCTTGTATAAATTGTGCTGTATGCAACATGGATAGTGAATAATTCATAGAAATGGACATCATCAATGTGCCTGTTTTAAAACTTTTTTTCCCTCAGAGTGGGCTGCCTTTAGTCAAACACACATAAAGGAGATTTTAGTTTCAGCTATCAGCAAAATGAGCATATGGTAGTCTATCATGAAAAGCTAAAGATGAGAAACAACCATTGAAATAACAAGACTTGTTTTTTACCCCTGATACTAGCCCATTTGCTAAAAACCTTCATTGAGCTTTCATCCTTAATTTTTGAAGAAAAAAAATCCAGCAAATTACAACTTTTAGTGTCAGCATCGATGAGACACATCTTTCCATTTATTTTCTTTTTTTTTTTCAGTTCTGATTTCCATGATGTTTCCTGTTAATTTGACTTACTTAAAAAATTAAGATTATTGATTACATTTTGATTTGATTACAAACAGGAACTTAAATTGATGGATTTTGTATTGTAGCGCTGTATTTTGTAGAGCTGTATTTTTTGGGGGGGGGGCGACAATATTGGTATTTAGAAGGCGGTACATAAAAAGTTGGAGAAAAGCCAAATAATATTGCACCATATATAGAGAAACTTCCAGTTAAAAGGTTGGTATTTATAGCCAGCTAAATAGTTGTACACAACAATACTTTGCTTCCAACATTCGTGTAACTTAAACAAAACACAATCGGACACTGTTATTATTTCAAAATTAGGTAAAACAAATGGCAAGTTGTTTTTTAAATAGGCATGAGTGATGTCTCGCTTAAGAAAAGGACATGGTGTCACATGTTTATAACTGATACCTAATGCCTGGCCTTTGTATGTTTCCACTGCTTAACATACCTTAAATAATATCAGCAACTGCAGCTAAGCTCCAAATAAATGAACTGAGGTTTGAATATTGAAATGAGGAGTTTGAATCCCATACATGTGCTAAAAGTAATCAATGACCTGAGGTGTAACTAATGCTTTATAGAAGTAGATTTGGATCAAGATGTATAACAATGAGATGCACAACTAACAATGCCTCATAAAGCACTTCATTCTATGGCCTTTTGCATAACATAAACATGTTTTTTTAGGTATTAGTCATCTTTGTAGTGATTTTTAAAGCAGTTTGCAGAAACACCGAGGCTGTAAATGGCATTGTTAATGCAGCTAGAAGTTTCAAGAGTCATCATTACAAAGTTAGACGGATCTAGCCGTTTATATAGCTTCCGGTTCGCTTCAAAATAAAAGCCTATTTGTAAACGTTTGTAAAAATTTGATGATATAAGAATCTACTCTTTAAATTATTAAAACTGACTCAAATGCGTTTTGGGGCCCAAAAGTACATATTACACGGAAAACATGCTATAACAATGTAATCCATCATCAGTAAGTGCTGCTTTACAGTTCAATAACGATCTAAAGAAAATTGCGAAACGAATTTTTGTTTAATACCTACCTAAATCTGTATAAAGACGACCATTAAAATTCTACAGGACCATTTCTATATTTAATGTAAAGTACCCATACCTATAACATATAATTCCCACATTCTAATTGTAACGGGTTGATTGATTTTATAGGATTTTTTTTAACGATTGCACGAGAAAATAAAAAAGTAATCTTGTCAGCTTGTTGAATCTGTATGGTGGCTTGTAAGCGCTAAGAAAAATGTTAACTAGTTACAATTGCGGTAAGGCTTTTATTTTGAAAGCAGCAGGAAATGGTAGTGAACAGTTGGGCTATGACAGCGAATCAATAACAAGCAGAGCAGAAAACTTGCTAACGTAGGTACCGCTGTGATCACATAACACCTGCAACAAACATGCAAATCAATTCACCATGTAATAAACTAAAAAAAAAACCCGTAGGTCCGCTTATATGTAAATAAAAGTGCGCGGCTCATGCTGTGGGAGAGACAGCGTCCACATACCTCCTGCTCAGTATCTCCCTGTTCCGACACCCCGATCTCGCTGGGCAGCTCGGCCAGATCCGTCACCCGTATGAGTCCGTCATGGAGAAATATCGTCTCCTCCTTTACCGAAAGCCATTGGGACGAGTCCACAGCCCCGGAGCCCATCACTCTCTCCTCCGACAGTGATGCCGAAAGAGGCAAACATTAAAAATTCAGTGACAGAGTCAGAAACGCCCCAGTCAGCTTGCTAGCCACCTACAATAACATAACTGCCCTGTCGCAGTCTTATCTGACAGCGGAGCAGAACCCGGCGCTGAGAGGAATAAACACGACAGCCTGACAGTGTGCAACCAGGGGCGGTAGCTCCACTTCCACTACATTACTGCCGAGCTAAGGGCTGCTTTTGCCTGGTTGCCTTAATTAGCTGAGCTAGCTTACCGTACGGTACCGTTTTAATGTTACTGACCACAGTGGGCGTGACACTCGCTCTAAAATCCGTTACAGCGTCGCTGTTTGCAGAATAGTCCATTCATGGCCCAAACTGCATCTCTCACTATCTCGTTTCACCTTTAAACCATCACCAAAGAAAGCTCCGGTGCCGCTCCAGCCGCTGTGTCAGGAGTCTGCAGAAGATAAACGGCAGTTACCAGGCCATGGCGGCTCCCAGCATGCATCGCGCCAGAAGAATCGTTGTCTAGCTGTCAAATATTCATGAACTCATTCATACCTACGACAAAGCTATGATGCTTTTTATGCATGTATATTTTTCCGGAGTAAGAAAACACTTTTAGGTCAAACAGGATATTTTTTTTTTTGTTCAAAACAGAGTTAAGATGCAGAAAAATCAAAAAGCTTTCTCTGAATCTCAGGGGCGGAGCTAGATGGGGGGCCAGGGGTGACCATGGCCACCCTTAGCCAATCAATGGCCACCCCTACCATTTTATTCCCTCTAATACAGATGGATATGGAATAATTACGACATTTACATTTTTTTCATATATTAACAAGCAAAACACTGGTTAATTCTGCACATCAATATACTAATATTCAAGATGATAAGTACAGAATTCATGCTTTTTTCAGAGCTATATTTTGTGCTATATGAAGTAAAGAGAAAATTATGTATCTCTGCAAGTCATCTCAGAGTCCTCAGTAAAATAATTGAAAAATAGCTATTTTAATAAAATGTATTACATAATCAATTTATGTAGATATTAGTACTTGTAAATATCAATTTTATGCAGAATGATTATTGATAAAAGTTGGTAAGTAATGACAATGGAAAAGATGTTCGTCCAAAACTCAAACCTCACAGAATTGTATCCACTATACCTTTTATCTAGAAAGCACAGATGTTTAAATATTTATGTGTCTATTTGTCTGCAAAGGTTGTAGAAAAGTATAGTTATTCTTTATTTAGAAAATATTGTTATTGTGCCCATTAATTTTCCTGTTGTAGATTGACCCTGAGGTTCTGATGCCTATCAACTTTTGGCCACCCCCCAGTTTACATAGGTTATTACCTGGCCACCCTTATAAAAAATTTCTGCCTATGCCTCTGCTGAATCTTTGCCTCAATTCCAATATAACCATAAAATAAATATCTTGTCACGTTGATCTAAATCATAAACCATTAATTTATAATTTTATCCTAACATTCCAACAAGTAATTTTCTAATTAATTAAATAAAGTCATAGTACATGTTAGTTCATGGTTCCATCATTAAACTCTAGCTCCCAACAACCAGCAGCTATACTTGCACAACCATAGTAGGCTGTCGTAGACACACTTGTCATTGTTGTGGACACCTGATCGCTGCCCAACACACTTGTCACCATCTAACCCAACTAAGTTTATCTTGGTCTCATCAGACCATATGACATGGCTACAGTTTGTTTTTAGCACACTGCTTGTGCACTTTTTTTTTTGCATGAACTAGTGAGTGGCATATGGAACTTTCATGCAGAGCTACCCCTTTAACCTCCGGAGCAATGCTGGTAGCTCTTATCTGTTCTCAAAAAATTTACCTGTGGTTATTACGCTGTTCATTCGGTTTCTTTGGTCAGCTATGGTGGGTTCTGGTCTGAAGTCAACCCATCCTGTTGAACTGTTTAATGGTCTTGGCAACTGTGTTGCCTCTCAGTTTCAGGATGTTGCAACCCTCTTACAGCATGGCTATCTTTATGTAGAGCTCTTCAGAGAGTTCTTTGAGTTGAAGTGCCATGCTAACCTTCCAGTTACCATCAGAGGTGGTTAGAGTGGCCAAATATAATTTCTAGTTAGACATAGAAACCAGAATTCAAGCTTCTGCTTTAGTCAGTCCCAAAGTTGTTCTACTACAAGGTTATGGTTAGACTGTGCAGGCCAGTCAAGTTTCTTTAGACCAAACCTTATCCACTGAACAGCAAGTAATTGGAACATATTTTGATTTGGTGTTAAGACCTAATACTTTTGACAATAAAGTGTATGGAAGAAGAGTGCAAAGCTCAAGGCTTAATAAGTCTCAGATGCATATTGAAGGATTGATACTGTAGAATGATTCTATAGGGTATATGGTGCTGGTCCTTAAGGTCTCTAAATAGGGTTTGTAACATTGGTTGGGCTGAAAATGGCAAATTTGCTGTTCTATGAGCCCTAATGCAAGCCTGGTTAAAAGCCACAGAATCTTTCTTTTATGGTATGCTCATGAATATTTAGATGAGCTGTGTGCTGATTGGTTGTATTACAACAAGCAAAGCTGCTGAGCAGATATGCAAACTCCATGCACAAATACTCTGGACTGGGAATCATACCCAGAACCTTCTTGCTGTAAGGCAACAGTGCTACCATAGCCCCTAAAAAAAAAATAATAATAAAAAAAAACATTTTCAAAAGTGTACTCAAGTAAATGTGAATAAATAGTTTCTACACAGTTCTGGTTGCAAATATGAGAAACTGTTAGAGCCGAAACACCAAAGCCATGACATCTAACCCCATCCACATCTGAGACCTTGTAAAAAAAAAAAAAAAGACATCAGCGGTTATAAATATGTTGACTTATTTTGATGGGAGAGAAGATTTGCTGTGCACTGGCTATTTTACAATGTATATAAAGTGCCATGTTGTAAATGCTGTCCCCTGAAAAGGGTATAAATAAGCTTTATACGAAAATCAAAGTGGTTTCTGCTTTAATTACATTTTATCTACATGTTTTCTTTTTGATGATTCTGCAAAGAAATGTGTTTGAAGTTAAACGCAAACAGCATATTGTCTGTGGAAAAACAGATCCTCTTGGAAAACCTCTTGGCAAGTTTTTTTGGTTTGCAGTGCTGGACTGGACTACAAAACCCACAAAATGTGACAACATAAAGATAAAACATCCTTATGGAGGGTCAGTTGGGTCAAAGACGTGCAGCTTTTCCCATTTTATTGATGTGTAAAATATCAGTTGTAATTTAAGTCATTTGGCCTCTCTGGCCTTCTGTATGCATCAGAGATGCTCATCAAAGTTTTGACTCACTCTTCACATCAAGAAACCAACACTGGACACATCTGTTTGGCGGCCAATGGTCTTATAGGTATCAAAAGAATGAACACATTTCTGTGAGGGAAAAATGAGGGAAATGCATCTCATTATTTTAATAGTAAAAAATGAAATGATCTTCAAAATAATAGCTCTGTATGTGATGAAGATCTAAGCAGCGTCGTTAGTGTGCATAGTTCAGTCTTCTATCATTTGATCTGTGGCATAATATCAGCTCTCATCTTCAGCCTTAGGCAATACTTATAAAGATGAATGGGAATCTTTTTTTTCCTGCCACTCGCTGAAACTCTCATTGCAGCAAAGTCTTTGTCTTCTGTCTTCTTAAGTGCTTGATGTAGGTCAGAGGCTTTAGAGAAGCCTCCAGAACATCTAGAAAAAAGAGATATCAAAAATTATAAAGTTAAACCAGCTTAATAACCTGTTTTACAGACAATGTTTGTAAATGTTTGAAAAGATTTTAAGCTTTCAAAATAAGACACTGTATTTGTTTAACTGTGCTTTAATTTGTAATGCCTCCTTTCAGCACAAGACCTTATATGTTACATGACATGAATTGTTGTTGGGGGTAGGTCCTTTTAAGTTCTTGAACTTCTACCTACTCCTTTTGAGCACTAAAATGTCTTAACATCTCAATGTAAATCTTTCTTGTATTGTTCCTCAAAGAAATTGAAATGAAAAAAAAGTTTTACAACAAAAGACTCGTTCTCTTATTAAACATAAACAGAGACATAGCTTTAAACAAGCACTTCAGAGCCTCACACCTTTTTATGCGACTACATTTTTTCTCCTTTGACAGAGTGAAGCAGTCTTGAGAGACAAATTCCTCCAAGAGAGGGCGAAGAAGACCTGGTTCCTTCAAGCTTCTAATTCGAACGGCCAAACTATGGAGATGCAAAAAAAAAAATGCAAGAAAAATGATTAATTTTTTCTTCAATTTGACAATTTTTACAAACAGCAATAAAGTCATCAATAATGAAAGCATACAACAAGCAAGTATTGGACTCATGGTGTATTATAGAAATAATGATACTTATGGAATCACAACCATGAACTATTTTTGTATTTGGGGAGGAGAGGATGTACACCTTGGACAGGTTGCCAGTTTATCATAAACCTCCGCATGCACGCACACATACCTGAGGGAAACTTATATTAACCAGAAGCAGCAGTATCAATAGAGAACCCACACCTATGTATGGAGAGACCATGCAAGTCCATACGGAAACACCCTGGAGTGAGATTTGAATCTAGGACCTTCTTGCTTTATGGTGATTCTAAAAATTACCATGCTTTTTTTCTCCAGACCAAAAAAACATCCCAATTAAATGCATTTACAATTGTGTTTTCATAAAAAAGTGAACAATTCAAGCAGAATGCATACTGCTGTATGGACAAAATAAATTTGTGAACATACAACAAATTGTACTTTAGACTGTGTAAAAAAAAGTTATTCTAAGGAAGATTGGAAATTAGGGATTACTCTGGGTACTCTGGTATGAACAATGTCTGCACTGTTTCATTATAAAGCAAATAAAATAAAGAATAGAAAGGATTACACATTTTTTTGGCTGACAGCAAACAATGCAAGGGAAAAAATAATCATTAATCAGTGCAAAATTTCATTTTTTTGCAAGAAAATATATGTTGATTTGCTATTTGAAATTTCTCTTTTAAGTCGTGGTTTACTGATCACTTCTTATTACAGTTTACTGCTTGATATTTCTAATCATTTAACAAAGAAAGGAGGATCTTTTCCCTGTTAATTTTTATTCATAATGGCATCAAGACAACCTCCAGGTTCAAAGCATGGAGGTTGCTATCTGCTAAATGACAACAGTTTCAGGCTTTTTTCAGGGCATTCAAAATGATATCTGCTCAATAAATAAGTTTTAAGGGCCAATTTAATCAATTCACATAAAGGAATGCAAAAAAAAAAAAAGATGCACCATATAGAGAAAAGTGAGAGAAGCATCTTACCGGGTTGTGCATTCACAGTGATAAGCAGTCTTGGACCCCATGTTTGTAAGATTATATTTCTTCTCAAATGGAGGAATTTTAAGCACACAATCATCCAGGTGTTTGAGGCTTCTACACTGGAGGTTTTTACCTGCTGGCATAATTAAACAGACAGAAAAAATGAACGTGTTTTTCTTTCA